GACGATCACTCTTCAAAATCGAACTATGAAATCATTCGCCTTAATTATTTTTAAAATTTTAAATTTAATTTCCATTTCTAATCGACGAATCAACAAAAAAGAGACTAAAGAAAATGGTTGCTTAAATGGCGATAGTTCAAGCCTTCTTTTTAATAACTAAATAACTGAATAAAATTATTACTTTATAAAGAAGAATAAAAGAACGACAACGGAAGAGAATGACAACGGAACCAACATTGACGATGATCAATGGAGAAGAAACTAATGAAAAAGGAATTCAGGGTGGAGCTCAACAGAAACGAGTTCCTCTATCCAATTCCATTTTCGAATATGAAAAATACCCTCTAAAATTGTGGTTTCACTCGCTGCGACGTCAATCTCAACATCCCTCGTCTTCATCCAAATCCCCTCATTTTACCATTATTTTATCTAAATGATAGTTCTTTCTTAAAATCAATACCAAAACAGATTAAAAATAACTGACCTATCTTTCCTATCTTCCCTTTGGTTCCATTCCGATTTTCAAATCTATTTTCTTGAATATTTTCAACTAATCTATTAGTTGTTGACCGCAGTTTTACTGTAAACTAATTTCATTAAGTGTCTATCTCAAATCCGATTTAAAGATAAAACCTTAATTCTTGATTTAAAGTCACTGGCTAATCATATCATATCATTACTATGAACTAGTAAGTTTATTAATAAGTTAACCTACTTTTTTTGGATTAGTTTCATATAAATTTTCTTTAAATCGAGAAATTATTATAATATAACAAAAATATAATAAATATAATAAAATACATAATATAACAAATATTATATAATATATAATATAATAAAAATAATATAAATATTAAAATATTTATATTAATATTATATATATTAATATAAATATTAAAATATAATATAATAAAATATAATGTCTTAGATGCGAAGCATTGCATTCTAATTATTTCCGTGTGGTTTTTTAAATTTACTTGTTGGTTGTAAATCGTTATATCAACAGTAAAGTTTTGAAATATTTTTCAAAAATCACAAACTATAAAAAAAAAATCAAGCCACAAATTATTTAAATGAGACGATCAAACATCTTATAGCAGTTCCAATCAACGTTTCCCTTAATTTTCGCTCCTTAAACAACTAAAAATATAGCCTCAGGCTACCACCTGAGCTTCAGGAATTGTCGACGTCTCCAGAGTATGTCTGAATAGGATAAAACAAATGGCTCATTTGATAGCCGCAATGATAAAATTCAAGTTTTTGAGACAAGTTTCGTGATAAGTTCATGAGAACTTCTAGGATTATTATGTGAAAACATTTGCTGTTATAAGTATTTTTTATTTAATTTAATTATCTTTATGAAAGTGGCATAATAGTTTTTCATGCTTCGTCTCAGACACCTTATGCGATAGAAATGTATCCTATATATATTCTCTGAAACTTTTTAATGCTTTGCCTAAAATATATTCATAAAAGACTGCTGATAGCAAGATCTAGGCAATTAGAATCAATGTAATTTCAGCTATTCTATCTAGGAGTTTAGGTCATTATTAGTTATTTACCTCATTTACTTGAGTACTGCTTCGTATTTATAGATGGCTCAGTTCAGCAGTTCTAACATATTCAATTTTGATTTGGCTTGCTCCACAACGAATCGAGAAAGAACTGTACGGCGTTTACGACCAACATAGCTTTCAAATCAACCTTTTATGAATGGAATTTTCAAGAATTTGATTATTGTGCTCCATTTATTTCAAATAACTGTGTTCCACTGAATCTTTACATTCACTTTCGAAAAATAATTTGGAAAACAAAATGTGTCTCTTTTTCGCCAAACTGCCAAGTTTTATTCGTAGGCTCATAATATTATTAAATATTGTCAACACTATTAGTAAGCTTTTGTTAATGGCACTTTATCATTATATGATCGAACATGTTTCGTAATATTTCGAAATCTGATTGAGAGATTTGGAAATCTCATTTTTGCGGTTAGCACAGCCAATCTAATTATTAATTGAACGGATCAGAAGATTAGAAGATGAAGAAGATGAATATTTTGGAAATTTTTTAAACAATAGTGAACAGTTATTTGTCTTATATCGTATTATATAATATATAAACTTACGAGTAATTATGCCAATATTCTTATTCTTTTTTTATGCCAAAATTAATAAATCACTTATGTTATTGTCGGATGAATTTGGTCTGATTTAATATGATTCAAAAAACTCATTCTGGACTAAATTATTAGTGATTTTTTTCTAGAATTATTTTTAGATTAATTTTCTAGAATTTGAAGAAGAGATTTTTCATTTAAAAGGATAGTTAGTGCCAACTTTAAACGCATAATTTAAGGCTTAAATACCAAAGGATTACTGGAAATCTTCCGTCGTGAAGAATTATTTGTTCGCAAAGCTCATATAAATTTAGACTAAAATATATAACGATTTCATCATCATGAAGTTTGGTAATTTCTATAAACCAGTTTGTTTTAAGTCCAGTTTTCATAAGCTCGTCAATATATTTTGTTGCTAAAAATATGCGTCAATTTCAAATCCATTATTAATATGATTTTTAATATGATTTTTAATTCTGGCTTTCTCGTATTTTTGCCGTAGAAACTAAATTTTACCGTGGAAATTTCGAATTTTTTTCCTATTTGTAGATTTAATTCATTCTGCTAAAAATTTCTCTTCTTAAATTTGCAAAAAATATGGGTTTTAACTATATAAATGATTAATTCACATTTTATTCACATTTACCCATTAATCTGGCAAATTTTTATCAGAAAAACTTTCCATCGCTATAGGCTTCCTTTATTTTCATATTTATTTGAAATTTTTACGGGTAATTTAGTACCAAATTTATTATAATAAAAAAAAGCCAATTCATTGTGATATATAATTTGAAAGTATTAGAGAGAGCTCACTTTTACTGGTTAATTATTACTTCGATTGGAGAGAAAAAATATGTCTTTGGATATGAGAAAAGTAGTCATTAAAAACGAAATCAAGCCCATACGGTCTCCATTAAGCATTAAGCAAAAACCATTATCAAGACCATTTACTCAGTAGTAGCGATCAAAAGGTAAATCCACGTGTGCAACTATATCGTTATCAGTTCTATTTTCAGAGCTATATTAAGCATTAAAATTAAAAATCTTAGGAAATTTAATCATATCAAAAAAGAGCGATATAAGGTTTAGGATCTGAATAAGACAAGTGGAAAGTAGCCACGAAACTTAGGCATAAAGCGCCTGGAGAAGATATGCAATTAATCAACTAATCTTGATGTTCTCGATTCCAAAGAAATTAATTTGTTCCTTGAAAATTATATAAATAAAAAATGAATTTTTCGAATACAAATTTCGTCTCACTGTTATGAACACCTTTTTTCAATAAAAAAATTAATTGTTATTTGTTGGTGGGTGAAACAGCATAACGAGATTCTTGATTAGCTCGTTTAGTTTGATTCAAACATTTTTTTGTTACGATTCACTATAGATTATTTTTCGCCACTTTTATACCACTCTAAGGGCTCTACAAAATATGAATAACCTGGATAAGCGAATGGTTTTTGTTCAGATCACTGTCTTGATCATCAATGTCCAGGCTTTGCCTCTGACATTAGCAGGCATATCATTAAAAAATCCAAGTAATGCTAGGCATCGCTTCAGCTAGAGAGAGGGGGGGCATTGTTTTTATTTCCAAATAACTTTAATTGAGTCAATTGCTAAGTCAAATCAGTTGAGTTAACTTAATCAGAAATGTTAACTTTTTAAATCAACTGATGAAGTACATAAAAGTATAATCATCAGGCCACTCAAGAATTTTTAGACTGAAAAATGAAAAATTCGAAATTAAAAACAGCAAATATGATATCGCCGAATTAGCATTAATATTTAAAATAGGTAGATAGTTTTCGAAAAATGATTAATCATGATCGACAAGAATCAACTTTCATTGAAGGCAAATATTTTAATGACGTCGATCCAACTTTCTGATTTTTAGAGCCTATAGAAAGTAAAAATTATTAATTTGTTGCCAATTTTTCTTTTAACAGCACCTACAATGGTGAGATTTTTTTACTTATGAGCGCGATAACGATAATGATTTTACAGCATTACCGTTATTCACTTTTAATGATAGTTTTGCCTTCATCATGGAATAGAAGCTATGATATCCGCAGATCACTAAAATTTTCATTTTCATTTTTAAAAATGGTGCAATTTTTGAGGTAAAATTTATGAAAATTATCATAGATGCATAGTTAGCTCAAATTTTTGACGATAATTTTTATTCCTGCCAAGAGCAAGACCAACACTAATCACCAAGCTATCATGTCTCCTCATATTCATGAAAAATTTAGTCTAAATTATTTTTAAATGAAGAGCCTCGGAAAATGGTTATGGGCGAGTTTTCTTTAGCTTTTTCAGTCGTAAATTTTTGAACAAGTTCAGTTTTTTCTGCGATTTTCATCAAAATTTTCCTAGAAAGTTTCATCTCAATTCCATCTCTGCACACTAGTGATTTTAAGAATTTTTTTATTTTTTTGAAGATTCATTTCATACGTTTTTCTTAAATATTATGTTAATTAGAATAATCTGATGTTCTGACAGCCTTCACCATTTCTGGTTTTGTTGGTTCTGCTTTTTTTTTATGAAATCTCTTCACCAGAGAACCATCTGGGGATAGTAGTGCAAGTGGGTTATTTAATTTTCAATCAATGGTTAAACTAATAATTTTTAAATGATTAACAATCGATTTCACCATTGTTTTTATCATGATTTATCATCCATTTAAGATATCGTAATGGATATTGTTTAGTTAACATCTTCGATAGGTCGCTATAATTACTATTCTTTTTCATCGCAAAAATTCATCGCACATCATTTTTTTTCATCTCATTTTTATTGGTTTAAGTTGATGTATAAAAATTTGATGTATTTAGCAGTTATGACCAGAAACTGTTTTCAAGGATATTTTCAGGTGAGTCGCGCGATGACAGTGGTAAGTGGATGCTTTTTGGTGTTGCTACTTACAGTTATACAAAAGACGATTGAGCAAAGGGATATTTACGGTTATCCTTTTGTGGTTACTCCTGGCACCAATTATAGCTTTATTTTTTTCAAATAGAATAGTGCGGTTAAAGAAATTTTGACCAGTGGCCTTTGAGGCCTTCCTTGTGTTTATTTCTATAAACTCTAACTATATCTAATTACTGAAAACATATTTACTGTATTGTGTTACAGTAAATTTATTGCAGAAAATAGCAGTGTAAAAATAATATTTCAGATACTCATTGGGATTGTAAAGTAAGTGATCCGTTATCATGCGATCAAACGAAAAATGAAGTATGTGTATTTAAAGATGGCAGATATAGTTGTGAATGTCCAACAGGTGTTTCGAGATTGCAAGACGGACGTTGTATCGTGATTGATGAATGTTCAGAACCTCGCTTAAATGATTGCCATGAAAATTCTCGTTGTATTGACCAAGTAATTAAATTTGCAATTTTCTAAGATCTTTCTTTTAGAAAAGTTTCTATCTATTAAGTTGATGCCGATCTTAAAAGTTTATTGCAGTCAATTATTTTTCAATAAATGAATTTCTTTTAGATGGAAGGTTATACATGTCAGTGTAATCCGGGTTTCGCTGATGTTTCTGAAGACATACAGAAAAAACCTGGTCGAATTTGCCAATCAGAAGTGAATGAATGTTTACAACCGGCCAGATATTATGTTGACTGTTCGGAAAATGCTGCATGTCAAGACACTCCAGAAGGTTTTACTTGTCTATGTCGGCCAGGTTTCACTGATACTAGTGCACATTATTCATTACTGCCTGGTCGGAAGGTATGTTTTTAGAGAACGATTACTAATTTTTCAGACTAAAAAATTAAGACTAAAATTATTCTTTAGAATTCCTCTTAGGACAAGTTGGTCGTGTGGTATGTTTTTTCGATTAGAGTCAAATTATCATAGATTCCTCTTCCTCTGGACCAAACTAGCTATCAGAAATACTGATCAAGTCAAATACTGATGAAAATAGCCTGACAACCATACTTACATCGCAAATAGCTTTCTGGCGAATAAACTCATCGCATAAAATAGTGTAGCGAGTCAAACCAGAAAGAAATACTACAAGGAAAAAAAAGTTTTTTATATGCTTCGAAATTTAACATATTTAACATTTTGTTGTTAATTTAACATTTTTTGACGATGTCGTTAATATAATATAAGATATAATTTGTTACATAAATTTAACTTGATATATAAATTTGAAAAAAAATTTGCCTTCTTTCCGGCTAATGTGCAGTCTTTGGATGTTGGACTTGGGGTGAAAGAGCATTGTGAGGAGTTTCCTCGTTTTTATATCAGCAGCTTCCATGTCTTCCTTTATTCACCTTGCCAACTGTGCACCTGATGACTGGCAAGGTATATACATTTATGGCTCGGATTTTGTTCTTCCCATTGAGGCTTTTTCTTTGGTGATACTTAGGTGTTGCAGTCTTGCATGCCTCCTCATCGTGGTTGCCATATGATTTCAAGGATATATATGCATATAAAATTTGATGTAGATAGATATATATATATAATTTTATATATATATATATAAAATTTGATGTAAATAGATAAGATATATATTTGATAATTATCAAGTTTTGGTATACAGTTTTTTCTAAATTCTGGTTCCTTTTCACCACATTTGACCTTTCAGCAACTAAAATAGTTGCTATAATTTATTATAGATAATAAATTATAGTTAAATTGTTTCCGTATGATCGTTATAATAAAGCCACTTTTTTGAGATTCTTCCAGGTACCATATCTGATCTGCTTAACGAGGTAGAATGGCCAAATAGTTAATAGTGCGGAGTATTATTTGAGATTATAGCTAGAGATTAGGAATCTGTTTCCGATAGGAATAAATTTATCTTTGAAAAATCCTGGTAATTTCGGCGATTCATCTATGCTTTTGTCGCCAAATGTTTCTTTGGCAAAAGTTTTCTACTCAATAGCCAGCGCTAACTAGTTGCTAGCGAAGTTTGACTAGGAATGGTGGGCGCAATTTACTCTTATTTACATCCCTGAGTTATCCACTAATTGTAATGAGCAGCATGAAAAATTATAATCAGACTATAAAGACTGAATTTCATGAAATTTCATAAGGAACAAAAGGAACTATACAACTGATTGTAGAAGTAATAACTATAGATGCGAAGCAAGTTTTCAAATTTATTTATTTATGCTTCACTAATAAAGATTTCTATGTTTCGAAAGAAAATTTTGCGAGTTTCAATTCATTTAAACAAATTTTTATGCGAATTTGCGAATTTCTTTAATAGCATTTGCAAAGAGGAAATAAAAAATCGCATTTTCATTTTAACTTCTGATATTTCTTCTAAACATGGAAATTCTTATTTGCCTAAAGTTTTATTAAAATTTTAATGAGTCTAAAGCTTTGCTAAATTAAGACGATATAAGTGTATTATGGGCGAGTAGCTACAATATCGTCACGAGTCTCTACTTCGGACAGCAATAAATTTACCATTAAAATTCCGGCTTGTGCTTATAAAAATCCATTTGCGCTTTCTATTATCTTGATCCATTTCCAAAAATGGATCAAGATAATACCTCTTGAATCCAAAAATATCTTATTATACTGACAGCCAGTGGTATGTCTAGCCAGAAACGTGTTATAGAAAACATGGATAGATGAAACAAAAGGTATTGAAGCAGTTACAAATAAATTTTAAGGAATTTTAAACTAGAAATATCGACATTTTTTGCTACTTAATAAATTTTTAGATTTTAAAAGAAATTGTAAATGAAAAATTTTTTTTTATTTTCTTAGCTGCCATAATTTCGTCTTTCTCCCCTTCATTCGCTATTAGAGTGGATCCAGAATATTTATATTCGAGCTTTTCTTCAACCCAGTGAGTTCAGCAGTGAGTTTATAAAAAGAGGCATTTTATCAGCTTCCTGTATATAAAACGAAAAGAAGACTTTTGTTTTATTTAAATTTATATTGATTATGAACCCGATTTCGTTGCAGCTTTCAGCACGTTATTCAATATTATTATTTAGTATTATTTCGCCATAACTCTCAGCAGTAAGAAGTGCATTATTAGTATATTCAACTCTGGACTGATTTTCTCTTGAGTACAGACAAGCGATGTCCATTATCCAGTCTAGTTGAATATTGTAGAGGGAAAAGACCTTGACGGATATCAGTTCATATTTCAAAGGAGTCTGTAAATTCCCCATGCGCAGAGGCCTTTGTCTATTTGTACTAATAAAATGCCTTTATGAATCGAACAATCTTCTCTGGAACGCCATCATTTCATCTCCTCCAAAACGCTGTTTATTAATTAAATCGAAGGCAACTACAAAATCGATGAAACAAGAGACGGTGAGTTGTCGATATTTGAAATCCCAGACGATATTCCAGTACTCTCCTTAATATGAACATCTGGTTAGTATAACTATGTTCCGATCTGAATCCAGCTTGCGGCGCATTCTAATATCTCGTACTGCCATAAATTTGTTTATTAGTTGGATAGCTAAAATTATATATACATGTATGCCCATTACGCGGATTTTTTTTTTTGTTGTGATAATTCGATAATGCGTGTTTATCGGAATAAATTGTGGGCAACATAATCGCGATACCTCAAATTTGTATATAAATTCCTTATTAAGAAATCCATATTAATTCGAAATGCTAGCTATTTAAGATAACAATAAAGGTCAATAAAAATACGAATAAGAGAGGATAATTTTTAGGAATTATTCGAACGCTAATAGCGCCGAATATACCCTATCCATAATCCTCATTTAATTCTTTGCTCCTACCCCCTTCGCTTACAACCTCTATTACCACTAATTTCCTTCATGGAATCTTCATGTCGCCACAAACTCAAAATGAGATTCAAATCTGAAACATGTTTCATACTTTTGTTTAAGGACGAACAGGAAGAGTTCTTGATTTGTTTCATTTTTAATTACTTTAATCCACTTCTTTGATTATTTTTCATCTTTATAATATTTGTAAAGTGCATTCGTTTTTTGCGGCATGCGATTCGAAAATTATTTATTGTTTCCATTTTTGCTTAATTTCTGCTATAAATCAAATCGAAAATATTAAAAATAATTTGCAAAATTTGGTTTTTTTAGTGGTTTCAGTCGAATTCCAAGTATTTTATTGTCAATGGCTGGTAATAATTTAGCATCTGGCAGCCAGAAGTGAGTTTCTTTGGCTATTTTTCTTCAACTAATATTCCCTTAAAAATATAGGGCTTGTCTCTGTTTTATTGGTCATTAATTTAAAATACTCACTGATTTCTTTATTCAGACAAAAATCGTGGTGGTAAAAATTAATACCTACGACGAAGTTTCTTTTTGATAATTTGTTTGTTTTGCTTATTTTATTTAAAGAAAATGACAATTTTGAAAAAGTAAAGCCAAAAATTATTAAAAATTGGTAATTGTTTAATTATTTAAGTGATTGAGGAGTTTCAATATTTTAATATTTGTTTTTTGGTGCATTTTTTCCTAAGAACGCCCACTATTTCTGGTTAGGCTCGCTTTATTAGCTTGTCGAACTTGAAATTTTCAAGTTTTCCGGAGATTCACAGATTTTTGAAAGATAAATTTACTCTTGAAGAAAGTACATTATCGGTGAAACTACAGCCCATTGAGCCATTCTACTATTTAATTCATTTATTACTACTAATAAAACTATTAATTAATATTATAATAATCAAGTATAATTTGTAGCGTAACGAGGTCGTCGCATATTATACCCTCATTGCGAACATTGGAGAAAGACTATTCGTGGAAACTGGAAACGGGAATGCAGCAGTTGAAATCGCAGGGCAAGGTTATTAAGCGTGGTCATCAGTAGTAGTCTGTATATCTATATATTTTTTCATTCTTGTATTCATTTCTTTAAATCATAATGTTATTGATTATATGCTTGCAAAATCTACTTTTCATTGACCGATTGAAATTTATTTATTCCTTTGGTTTTGTATTTGGTGGTTGGTGCCGTAACTCATAAAATATTGAATGCAGGCAAAAATGTGAAATAAAAGTTATAGGTTACGATTTTTTGCCATTGTTATTATTTAGCTTATTTCGTTTTTCGTTTAAATGGAAAATTTTAATTATTTGATCATTTGAGTTTCAAAGAATATTATATTTATGCAAGAAAATCTTGAATAAAGTATTGAATATTAATGTTTAATCTTTTTATAGTCGATAACAATAATTTTTCTGTTAATATATGCTTCATTTTTATCATTTTTCCTCTTTTATGTAAGCGACTTTCATTAATTTAATTTTTTTCCTCCGATTTATATTATAAAAAATTGAGTTTAATTCGTAAAAGGCAACAATAGGGAATATATTGATAGTGTTTATCAAATGATTTTCCGAATTGGCGAAGATTGCCTTGCTCTGTAAACTGTTTGCTGGGCAAATGTGTGACTTTTAAATGAATGAAGTTTATTTCTAGATTATTATTCATTTGATTATTATTCATATGCAATGAAAAGAGTACAACTGATCAGAAATGAATGGATTTTATCGTTTTGTGATGAACAGCGTAAAATGGACACAAAAGAAGATGGTGATTTTAAGAAATTCGCTTAAATTTAAGTAAAGCGATTGTGGTTTATCATTTTCGATTTTTGCAATGTTTATATGTATTGTTATTATTATTCCAACAGTTTTGGTATGCCTTTCTGACTGACTGCTAAGATGGGATGATTCTTAGGTAAGATTTTTTTACCAAGAAATATTTGGAGATGGAAGCATAATTGGAAGATTTATCGAAGTATAGTTAGCAGCACACGGATTTCATTGACAAATCTCAGTGGACGGAAATCGAAATCAATTCGTGGTCCTTATTCTAACTTTATTTGAAATATCATATTACTCGACTATCCTGCTCTGAATACTTTTCTTTTCTTTCACTATGTAAAATATAAAACAGCCAAAACTAAAAAGAAAATAATCAGGCGAAATGTCGATCAAAATTTTGAACCATGGTCAAGATTTTTAAAAACTTATTTCTTATCTTCTTAATATCTTTTCTTTTATCTTATCTTATTTTATCTTATTTTATCTTATCTTTTATCATTTATATTAATTATAAGTTATAAATTTTTAATGTTGTGAATTTCATTAATTTCTCATATAGCGGAGATTGTGGCTCGAGCAATTGAAGAAGCTGATTGTTTACATGTGTTGGAACTGAAAGGGAATAGTATTGGTGTTGAAGCTGGACAAAGGATAGCCGATTCTTTTAAAATTCACTCAGAGTTTAAGGTACTTATCTTAGCATTTTGTTTTTTGCATTTGCGACCATTAAAAGTGAACGGTTGATAATTCACTATTATTATTTTCAAATTTTGCAATATAAATTTTTGTAATTTTTGTATTTTAAATGTGTAAGTTTCAGCGTGCGCTTTGGAGCGACATCTTTACCGGCCGTCTGACTAAGGAGATTCCATGTGTCGTGGTATGTTTGTATATGATACTGATCTTATTAAGTTAGCATGGTGTTGGTAAATCTGGATTTGAAATTTATCTAGATGATCATTTCCATTTGAAAATATTAAAAAATCATATACTGTTAGAAATGATCCAGCATATTCGTGTTTTATCGTATGCTTTTAATATTGATTTTTTTTCGTGAGGTGATAACTTTTTCACTTGTATTTTTTGTATATTTTTAGAAATCTTTGTGTGATGCCATGATGATTTCGGGAACTTGCTTAGTGGAACTCGACTTATCTCATAATGCTTTTGGTCCAATTTGTGCTGATTCCCTTAGAGAATTTCTCGAATCTGCTTATTCACTTGAGATTCTAAAACTCGAAAATAATGGTCTTGGTACTGGTGGTGTTGTAAGCTTTTTCATCATTATCATATTTTTCGTTCTTTTCTTTTTTCTCTTCCATTAATCTAAGGTATATAATTTATGGATGTTAACCTTTCAATTCAATTCAATTAATGGGAACTAATGGATTCATTTATTATTTTTTACTGATTTTTAAGGATCATTGTTTTTTTTATTTATTAGTTTCAAAATTCTTTTAGACAGTAGCTAATGCTTTACTGAAATGTTGCGAAAATGCCGAACGTAATGGTACAAAATTTGGTCTTAAAACTTTAATTGCCGGTAGAAATCGATTAGAACAAGCTGGAGCTGTCGCTTTCGCTAGTTTTTTTTCGGTATTTGTTTATTCGATACCCATTTCTTTTGAAACAAACTTGCTCATTTGCTGTTGGAATTCTTGAAATTTCTTTTCCATTTTATTTTGTTTCTGAAATAATTTTAATTTAAAGATTTTTTTATCGTCTTGTTTCCTTGTGTTAGATTTAATTATTTTCCTTGAAAGAAATACTTGAATTTTTTTTGATTAGCGAAGAATTGTGATTGATTTTAAATGTTTTTTTAAAATATAAATTGAGTTTTTTGAAGAGAGTGTGTACTTTGGAAGAAATCAATTTGTATCAAAATGGTATCAATGCCATTGGTATCAAACAACTTGTTTCATCCTTTGGTGCAAATCATCAGTTAAAGATAATTAATTTAAGCGATAATACTTTCACAGCAGTTGCTGCTGAAGCAATCGCCTTGGTATTTCCATTCTTCATAAAAATTCTCTATCTTCTTTTTTTGTTTAGAAATCAGAGAAAATTAAGGAATTCGTCCAAAATTTTATTTTTTAGTTTTATCTTAAAAAAATTAGAATCAGTCCAAATTCTTTGCAAAATATCTGAAACATGAAAAAAGCTACTCTTGATATTTCAGGTATTGCCTCAGTTACCATTAATCGAAGAATTGAATTTCAGCGATTGTTTATGTCGAAACAAGGGAGCATCAGCTATTATAACCAGTTTAAATCCCAACATACATCAATCATTAAAGGTTGATTATTTATAAATTTCTGGAGTAAATTTAGATTTTAATTTAAATCAAAACCTGCTGTCACCTTATGTCATTTGTTGAAGTAAAAATTAACAATTTAATTTTTCACAGTGACTGAAGTGAAAAAATTTATTTTATTTCGAGATTTAAAAAAATGAATTGTTGCAAAGGAAAAATCAAAGCGAAAGATTATAGTTTTAATCATTTTAAACTTCTTATTCATTCTGAATGATATGGAAAATAAGTTGTTGCGAGGATCAGTGGATTAAACATAAACCAAAGGCCTTTAGATTTTAAGTTCCAGTCTTTTTCGTAATTTCGTTTTTCTCTTACTGTCATTAATTGTAGAAATATTTTTTTGCCTTTATATCTTTGATAATGTTGTTATTAATTTATCTTCGCTATCGTAGATTATTAAGATGATTAATTTGTCGGGCAATGAGATGAGTCCTTCGGTTGTTGAAGCTGCGTTAAAAAAATTATCTAATGGCTTCCATCTTCAAAGTTGCATTTTGCACACAAATAACTTGGGTAGTAGTTTTAATACAATGAAGCAATATTGGATTTCACGAGATTTCGTGGATTTGGGAAATGAAAGGTTATATTTTTTGCAATGACTCTTACAGTACCTATAATGCTTTCTTCCTTTTAATAAGTATATAAGCTTTAAAAAAGGTGAAAAAGGAAGATATAAGAATGAAAAGTTAGATCAGAATTAATGTGGAATGAATTTAGCTACCAGCTACCACTTATATTTTGCCTAGCTTCTAAAATATATGAGCAATACTGAAACAACGTCTGAAATTTCAATCATTTATCATATGTATATGAAGAATCATAGTTTGGTCATTCCTTATTTCTTGAATGCTTGCACTTTTAAACTTTTTTGAAGTGATGATCAAGGGTCCTTGGAAGATGGAGATAGAGAATTTCATTCGGATGATTCAAGTGATGAAGAGCAATTTGCTCTAAACAAGAGCGATTTTGTGGAAGGTTATGCTTTTTTTGACATATTGTAATATGGTTTTGCCTTTTATGGTGAAAGTGGGTAATTTATTTTATTGATGATTGCTGTGGATGATAATTACCGTGGATATGGTTAAAAAATTTTCGATTTCAATAATTTTCAAAAAAAAATTGGGGCAAGAATAATATGAATAATAATTTTCTTTTTTAAAACTTTTTTTGGTAAAAATTGGAAAGGTTGATAAAAAATGTGCACAAATTGAAAAATTTTTCCCTGTGTATTATTTGAAGTTCTTTCTGTTAAAATTTAAATAATACTATAAAAATAAACCATCGTTTTTTGTTTCAAATTAATTTTTTTGGTTATAGCAGATTCAAAAACTTTATTATCCGATAAAGAAATGACAGTTTCATTTCGTGATCAGCAGAATCAGTGGAATACAGTTGATGATGGTTTTTCTTTTTATTTTCGTTCTCATCATACATCACCATTTAAGGATGCGAATATTGAAAATAAAATTAATTCTTAGTTCTGGATGTCACATCCGCTCTTTCCGCAGAAAAGCCAGTACATATCTTCGAATTGAAGGGAAATTCATTGGGTATTGTCGCGGGTGAATGTATTGCTAATTCCTTGCGCTTTCATCAGGAACTCAAGGTTAAATTTGCAGAACTCGCAGAAATTAATTTTTTGATAAAAAAATATATTTTTGAATTGTGAGTTGCAGAAGGCATTGTGGAGTGATTTATTCACTGGCCGCAAGAAACAAGAAATCCCACCAGTTTTGGTAAAATTTTTTTATTTTATTTATCAATATATTTTATTTATTTACAAAAAATCAGGCGAGGCATTATGCCGTATGCTTGTGCCATGATAAGAAACTGAACAATGATAATTATTAGAGAAAAAGAAAGTAAATATGTAAAGACAAAGTAGGAAAAAATAAAATGACAACACAATAGAAAATAATGATCAATAAATGAAATTATTTCCGCAATTATCATCAAGGCAGTTTAAAAATCCTATGAAAAATATAGTTCAGCTATTTCTAAAGTTATATTAAAATTATATTAGAACGTTTTTTGGTTTTATTCTGTTTATTCTGTAAGATCATAACTTTTTTGAAATTAATTTTATTTTATTATTTGTTCAAAGTTAGCATTATTACAATAAACTCACTTTTGCCAACGTGATACTAGTGCATCATTCCATTTGCATAAAAACTACCATAGAACTGCTTGAAAATGTTTTCAAGGTGCTTGTGTTTTCGAAATTATTTCTGGTCGAGCAGAAGTGAAAGTCCATTGATGAGACCAGAGAAATATGGTGGTTCAAGAAAGTCTTCGGTATCTAATTTTATCAGTGGGTTGTTGCTCAGTTTGGAGCGTCGATGCTGAAGTTTGATTCCGCGTAGGAGTAAACCTATATAAAAATCCAGATTATGCTGGCGATTAACCTGTATTTCTATCCTATCGTATTCCTGTCGCAAAGGGACTCCCTGGCATATTGCCCAATCGACCAGCCAGTGGAGAAAGTTTAACCAGTAATGGTAAGGATTCTTAAAAAAAAAATTGGCAAATTGATCTTTGTGATGTGCGTTATACCGTCATTGTGCTGAATTATGGTGTTCTTTTTTTGGTTGCCTTATTAATTATTCATGGTGGATTATTTGCATATTAAGCGACTCTGCTATAATTACACTGGATTTGGATTCTGCACTGGATTTTAAGAAGTTATAATGGATTAACGCTTCAGTAGGCTACAGTGAACTTTATCTTATTCGAATGAGTTTTAGCATGGATTATGACAATCCAATAATTTGTAGATTTTTTCATATCCTACAGAATTCTCTCTAAGTTATGAGTAAATCGTCCAAGAACGGAAGGAATAACAGCCAATAGCGAATCAACAAATGTCTCCTCATCTGATGCTTCGTCAATTCTGCTTTTTAAGTCTTTTCCCATTGTATGCAGATGATTCCGCAAGTGAAACTGCTAGCTTTTGCGCTAAGATATACACTTCTGGGATGCTCCACCATTTTTATTTATACGAGTATGTGTTCTAGGGCATCTTTGAGGCATTTTCGGATTTGAAATTTGCGAACCACTTTTGCACTTTTATTACGAGCACTTTCACTTAATGTTTGCATGTTCCAAATGAAAAATTTATGACTTCTTAGTTGATTTTTATAGCTTTATAATTCCAGTCTGTTTATTTACCTAAAATTTGAATAAGGCTGAGGTTACAAAATTTATTGCCGGTTTTTGGTGGCCATATAAAATTTATTAATTAGGTCATGTTGTATTTTTCTAACTCGTAATGAATCCAAGTCAAATTCTTAAATTAAATTAATTGTTATTCTATTATATGCAATTAAAAAATGAGAATTCAGTCTATTTCCAACTTATGGAAAATATTACTGCATCTTCTCAATCAGTCTAATCGATTTCGGAGGTGATAAGTAGTATACCATTGATCGAATAGAAATCTTATAATTAATAGTAAGAAATTTTCCATTTCTATTCCTAAGTGGTTGAAACATTAAATTTATCAAGTTCCATGACCTTTATACCATTGCTGTATTATAAAGGTCGAAATTTAACTTTTCATCAACATTCTATCTACAATTTAAATTACAATTTCAATCTATAAATGCCTAGATCAGATATACGATTAAAGCTACTTAATGAAGATCTCCTCGTCGTTATCGGAAATTTGATCCTTTCAAATTGATATGTAAGGTCTTGCATTTGGAATGCTTAAATTATCTTGGAACCAATCATTATTTATTTGCAATGGTGATAGATCATTTGTAACATCACTGATATCACAGTCACTGACATCAAGAAGCATAAAGGACCAATAAATTCTACTCTGAGGCATGCCAGATTTGACTGAGACTGTTAATAACAACTTTTAATAACTGCTTATGTGGGATAGTATCGGAAGCTTTTGCAGGATATAACTTTAACAACAACCGTTTGTCTATGATCTGTTGATTCAATCTATTCATAAAGATTTTTGAGGTAGTAGATTTTCTAGAATAAAACAGAAGTATAAAATAAGTATAAAATAAAATATAAATATAGAATATAAATATTATATTAGAATGGTTCCAGCACATTTGCGCAGGATAAGGTAAAGTAAGAAAATAGCTCAGTATCAATTGTATTGTTGTATCTCGTCGGATTTCAATATTCTAGTGAAAATATTCTTAGTTGACGTGCAAACAAAAATTTAAAATTTAAAAGTTTAAAAATCTTTAATATTTGCTGCTTGCAGTTGTTCTGTCAATCTTTATTAGGCATATTAAGGTCGCCATAAATCGAATTTTTAACAAATTATTAATTTTGAAATTAATACTATAGCAAGGGGAACGATATAGGTACAATAGTCATAAATTTTGATTTAACAGAAGCGAAATGAAGCAAAATAGAATAAAATGTTAGAAATTTAATTCAAATTGATGATTTAGCAGTTTTTCTTGCTTTATTCATTTTTTTACATTTAGCGGTCACTTTGTTCTGCTATGATATCAAGCGGCTGTCATTTGGTTGAACTGGATCTATCTGATAACGCTTTTGGCTCAGTTGGTGCCGAGAGTATAGAAAATTTTTTGAAAACTGCTTTTACTCTTAGAATCTTGAAATTGAATAATACTGGTCTCGGTAGAGGTTTGATAGTAAGTTTTTAATTAAACTAATAAGGTTATAATTAATTTTTTTTTTATCTTTATGCTAAATAATTAAACGAAACAATGGATGCGTTTTTTATTTATGAATTTTGATTTGCTTAGGTTTGAGGCGAGATGCAATTTATTTCAAGAAAACGAACGAAAGAAATCTCTTGTTCTCTTCTCCTCTCCTTTGCTTTAATAAATAAAAGGAAATACTCGAAAAAATTTTGTTTAATTGAATCTTTTTCAAAGATCATTGCAAACGCTCTAAAAAAGTGCATATTAAATGCTAATCGTTTGGGGAAAAAATTTTCTTTACAAACATTCATAGCAGGAAGAAATCGTCTCGAGGCTGATGGTGCAGTGGCTCTTGCAGGGCTTTTCCAAGTAAATGTTTATTTGGTTAGCCAATTAAAGATGAATTAAAAATTTATCGACACTTATTTAGATGATTGATTCTCTCGAGGAGGTTGATATACATCAAAATGGTATTAATTCGGAAGGTATTATTGCTCTGTCCAGTGCATTTAAATGCAATCCTAATTTGAAAATGATTAATTTAAGTGATAATACATTTAATGAAACTGGTGCGAAAGCTGTTGCCGAGGTAATTTATTCCAAATTTTATTTTTTTATGTTTTTTTTGAAGCGAGATGATAGTAATGGGAAAAGTATAAAGCAGCGAAAATAAGTCACATTATAAGTTACTGTTACCATTAAAAAATTTTTCGCTTTGCTGATCGGATTCGCCTTATTTTAGGGAAATTTATTCCGATTTTTCGACTGCTTATTAAATTGAAACCGTTTTAACATTCTTGAAACTTTCGAAAATTTCAAATTTTTTTTTCAAATCTTTTCCTCTCTAAGTTTTTTTATCCTTTTTCTTTTGACTTCGAATTATTGTTTAATCCAGTAAATATATATATAGTAGTATAGGTATTGCAATTTTTGCAACGAATTGAAATTCTCAATTTTTCTGATTGTTTGTGTCGAAATACGGGCGCACTTGCAATCGTTTCTAGTCTTAGTTCATCCATTCATTTATCACTAAAGGTTAATTTAACAATTTTATCTTAAAATTTATATTATTTTTTGGTTTTTGCTCTTTGATTTACTTTACACTTCTTTTAATATATTTATTTACCATTTTCTTCTTTTTTATTGAAAATATCCCATTTAATTAAGCACATTAATTATTATTTTATTAATAATAAAATAATAATTAAAAGGAAAAATAAAAATAACCTAAAATTTAAAATAAAATTTGTAAAATTAAAATAAGATTTCAGTTGATTAATATTGAAATTGAAATGTAACTCCAGTAGAATTCCAGGAAATCAATTTATCTGGGAACGAAATGGATTATGAAACTGTCAAGGCTGTAATAAATGCTATGGATAATTCTGGATTTCATCTGAAATCTTTAATTTTACATACAAATAATATAGGTGAACAGTTTCAGAAACTTAAAGAGGAAAATGTACACAAAGATTTCATTAATCTTGGAACTGAAAGGTTAATTTAACAATTTTATCCTAAAATTTCTATTATTTTTTGGTTTTTGCTCTTTGATTTATTTCATTTGATTTATTTTTCTGGGAAATCCCTTATTTTTATTTCAAAATTTTATTGATTTAATATGACATAAATATAATGTGGTAATTAAGTGATGACCAAGGGTCACTTGATGGTGAAGATGTGGTTTATCAGAGCGATTCTGATGGTGATGAAAAGGGCCCTTTATGTGAGAATATAAATGGGTCCAGAAATTTCGATTTTGGATCAGTCGATAAGGTTTTCCGCTTATAATTTGCCTATGATATATCTTATTCATCTTTTTTATGCAAAGAAGCTGTGATACCAACTGTGAAACTGTGATACCAACTATTTTCAGGAAATCCTTGAATTCATTGAACATCCGAATGTCACACACGTTTTCAAGTTCTTAGAAAAAAAAAATTTCCTTGATTTTATTAAGGTAAATCTGTGATGTTTTTTATTTTACTGTATATTTTCCATTGGTCTTTGGTAGTGTTTTGCCAGGGTTTTCGGTGGTTTAGTGACAAATTGTCACCGAAAATCGAGGTTTCGGTTCGATCCGCCGATGCACCATTCTTCGGTCAGATGGAGAGAAATAAAGCAGAATGGCTCATTAGATTGTTGCTCAATTCGGAGCCCATGCTGAGGGTCTACTTCAGGCAAGAATGAACTTGTACAGAAATCCAAGTATTATCTGTACTTCTATCGCCAAGGAACTCCATGGCATATTTATTTAGTGCGACGAGCCAGGCGAGTGAGTCTAACCAGTAATGGTGGGTGTCTTTTAAAAAAGTATTAGCATACAATTATTTTTTAAAATGAAATCTCCGTAAAGTTATTTATAGTAGTAAAGTTATTTGACCATTTTGCAAGTAATTTTCAATAAATTTCGACGAGATATTTTTCAGCAAGATCTAAAAGGTCGCTTCCAAAAAACAACGGCTGCTTTTCTTTTTGCATTATCTTCATTAATAACAACAGCAAATCAGAATGACGCTCATTTTATGATGGCGATTACAGACATAGCAGGTCATCTTTTTTTTGATTTCATATGTAATCGCTTTTCTTTAATATCCGAACATAAGATCCTTATTATCTTTTATTTTTTGTACCCTAAAAGTTTTAAAATTTATTTTTACTATTTTTATTCTTTTATAATAGTGATTATTTTATTTTTTAGATTCCATTCTTTCTTTAGCAGAATCACTTCTGCGCTTTCCTTTATCACCTTCCGAGCAAATATGTAATTTACTACTTGCATTTGCTGGAGGAGTGCCTGTTAGTTTTTGAAATTTGTGATTTCATTGTCTTGTCATTATTTTACAAGCTGGTCTTTTTCTTTAAAAATGACCTTCGCTATGAAAAGAGATATTATCATTGGAAAAATACACTGATTTTTTGTACATTTTGTGATCGACTTCCTTTGAATGTGTTCAGATGGAATCTGGCAAAAAAGTTACTGTGAATCTCATTGGCTTAATCTCTCTTTTTGAATCCCAGATCGACATTGGTCATTTTAAATCGATGATTCCTACAATCAGATTTTATTTGTAAAATTTCTTTTGTTATTTTCATTTATTTGTTCCTTTATTACTTTTATTTATTAAGTACATTAATATTTCCATTTAAAGTTTTTTATGATTATTTTGCAGCAACAATGCAATTCGGCAGAAAAATCCAGGTTATGATGTCCAAATTGACCAGTTTCTCAGAAAAATTTCTTCCTCATTTGTTTAATGATTATTTTGTTTGTGGAATTTTTTGCTTAATTTTTTAATAATTAATAATTAATTTTAACAGTTTTTTTACTTTCTTCTTTTGGGATTTTTTAATGCTCTAAATTTCAATATTTTTTGAATTTTGATATTAGTATATAATAAAGGTATATAAATGCTTTTAAACACATTGGCATTTAAATGTTAAATAATTATCGGGAAATTTTTGCAGGCCTATCTTGATATTTTAAGGGTTTAAATCTGGATACATTCCATGGAAATTTATATATTTAAGTGTATTTTTGCGGTTCTAAACCAAAAGGTAGGTTCTATGATCAAATCAAATAAAAAATTTAAATGATTAAAATGATTTTGTGTAATTTAACTCGCATCGTAGTTTTTTATTTTTTTTTAATATTGCCAAATTTGCCTTACATTTTTTAATATTCAAAATTTTTTAATATCCAAATTTGCCTTACATTTTTGCAGAATATGCAGAAATAATGTTGAATAATAGACAAATACTGTAATTCTTGGTACATCCTGGAGTTTTCTCACCAATTTTTCAAATGCTGACTTTAATGGATAGAATTTTTACGATATATTAATGATATATTGAAATCAAGCACAACATGCTCTCAGTATTATATCACTGTCGCTGCTAAATTTGTGCATCTTTATTTCATAATCTGTTTTCGGATTGAATCCCACAGGGCAGTTGTTAATAGCCACTATGCAAACCTCTTCGCCGTTTTTGCCAGTAAATTCTAAAAAAAGAACAAATGTGGTGACAACGTTCGTTCTAAAGTCCGCTAAACACACCACAGTGGATTGTAAAATCCGAGGTCAACGAACTCATTACAATTGTCTTGATTGCTATCTCGGGTTAGCAAGCAACTTTATTAAATATTGTATATTATCTACTTCGGAATGATGCAAAAGAAATTTTTGACTTACGAGCGGGTGGTCCTATTGGTCCAGGCATGCCGGGAAGGCCTTTTGATCCTGAAAGCAGTATTTTTCACATGAAATATATGCTTGGAAATGAATGTGCGGATTTTCAGGCTATTGTGAAGATTTTTATAAACATTTTCTTTCACTATGAATGGAAAAAATCACCTCCGACCATTTTATTAATTTCGAAAGGATAAATAAACGAATAATGGCAATAGCAATTCTTTTTTCTAATAATTGTTTAATAAAAATAAGGAAAGAAACCTGGAAGTCCAGGGGGTCCTTGATCACCTTTTGGGCCACGTTCACCAGCCGGACATGTGCATTCTTTAAATAGCTATTTTTTTTACTAATTTTAAACTAATTTACTAATTTTTTTACTAATCTATATTCAACATTTCATTTATATCCAACATTCTATATTCAACATTTCTCGTTTTGTACAAAATATTCATCAATTTAAACTTAAAACTTAAAAATTATACGTTGATGGATCTCTTCTCGCATTCGATTTTGTTCGTCCAACTTGTCGATTTTCTGAAACCCATCACTGGTTTATTTAAAGTTTTTTGAGAAGGGCGAACAAGTAATATCCAGTCGCATAATGAAGTTGCTTAATATTGTCATTTTTTTAAAATTGAAATTCGAAATGTTTCCGAGAAGAAAAAGGCTTGTAACCCGATTCAAGCGATTCAATAATTGATTCTGTTGCTCGAGATTCATTTCTTCTTGATTTCCACCACATTGACAATAAACTGCATTTCCAAGAAATAATAAAACCAAGTAGAAATTCATCATATCTGTGGAATATCAAATGTAGGAAATAAAATAAAAGGATTCCGCAAGTTCATGGAAGTCAAAAAAGATCAAATCTTTGGCTGCTAGCAAAATTAATACTAGTTTGCTGGACAGACAATAATAGACTTTTATTAATTTAGATGCAGAAAGGCAGGATGGTATTAAACCCAATGACTTAGATCGCCCAAACATAGATTTGGTTTCCCCATGGAATTAATTCAATTCATCAATTTAACTATAAAATCTGACTACTATTGGAGGCTTGCCTATATTTTTATCCCAAATGGCTCTGAAGAAGTGGGCTTTTCCATTAGAGTCAAGCGAATCAAAAATGAGTATAAGTTCTGCTAAAAAAACAAATATGAAAATGGTACTTATTTTTATCATCAATACTTCCATGAAATATAGGCAATATATACCTTTTCTGGAATGATAATATGCAAAATGGAATAAAATTTATCATTCACTTTTTAAACAGACTATGAACAAAGAATACAAATATATCATATCATAGGCATAAGGATTAATTTCATCTGGAAACGAAGAAATAATATGTGGGAATAAAGAGAATCATCTGATTTTTAAGAAAATATTAAAAATTACAGTTGTTCATAGCATTTCATAAAATATCCCACGGGTGGAAAGAACTGTAAATTTAGAGATGGCTGGAGAGAGAGGGGTTCTTAAAATCGCAATCGTCTCTTCGTAGAACCAAATAAATTATAAGGAAACTGAGCAAAAATAGGCTAGAACTAAATAGTTTTTGCTGGATTGTTTTTGTTATTTGCAGCAGGCATGAACTTCTAGTGCGAATTGCTCTTCACGATATCCTAATCCAGCGTTTTTCACCAGTGAGTACTCACCAAACCTATAATTATCGACATGCGCTTGATAGTCGATTATTTCAGTGAAAGATGGAGGACAGCTACCCAAAGAAAGAATACAGTAACCCTTATCATCGACCAACCATCCTGCAAAAATCATCGCGTTATCATCGAATATCATAATCTTGAAAACATTCGGCAAACTCTGAGTGGCTTGTAATCTTAGAAAATACTGAACCTGGTAATCCTGGCATCCCGTTTTTCCCTGGTTCTCCTTTCGACCCCGGTAAGCCCTGAATTCCCATTGCACCTTTGATGCCTGGCAAGCCAATGTAACCAGGTGGACCAATCGGTCCAGGCGGGCCTATATATGATGGAAATAAAAATCAAATATCTTTTAGATTAACCATATAAATCGAATAGCAAAGAATAACAACAGCTAGCCTTGAGGTCCTGTGGCACCAGGTAAGCCCCTTTCACCAATTAGACCAGTTTGACCAGGTATTCCATGTATGCCTGGCTCTCCCTTCTTTCCAGGAAAACCAGGTAAGCCTAAATCAATTATGAGATAATAAGGCCGAAACTATACATGCATCCTTTATAACCATCTATTACCAATTTGTTGACTTATGTTATATGTTTATAAAAGTGCAATTCAATTTAAAAAAAACGCTGAATCATCGGAATAATGCAAAAATCAATAAAAACAGTTGATAAAAGACCTGGTTTGCCATCATTGCCTTTTTCACCTTTTGGGCCTGGCCAGCCAGGTGGGCCAGGCAGACCATTGGTGCCCGGCATTCCATCTGTACCTCTATCGCCTTTCTCACCAACCACACCCTTTGTTCCTTTTTCACCTGTCTTTCCTGGCATCCCACGATCTCCTTTTATTCCAGGTATACCTCTGTAGCCTGGGTCGCCTTTCTCTCCTCTTAGTCCCTATATTTATTTTAATAATTAATGACTTTGTTCCTTGTTTATTTCTTTCAAATAAATAAATAACTGGAAGAAACAAAAGTATGGAAATTGCGGAAATAAGAAAGAAGAAAAAATAAAGTAAAGAATTTATTTTATTGCTATTATTATTATTATATTATTATTATTATTATTTCATTATTATCACACTAATTCATGTCGATCAGTGGTTGGCAAGTTATTTTCTATTGATCCACTGAGATCCATGATGACCCTAAGCGGCTCCATGGAAGCCCTTAGGGTGAGAAATTAGGCCTTACCCGATCATTGGATTTGTCAGAAAACACCTTTCACGAATAGCTATGGTACTATTTTCGTCTTAAACCTTAAATTTACTTGACATTTTTTTTTCATTTAATTGTTTAATGAATTTTACGAATAAATTCCAAACGTTATTCCGCGTAGAATATTTAAAATAGCCTCAATTCTTAATAATAATGATAATAAATCATTAATTAAAATAATGTATTTGGAATAGTTATTTTTGAATTTTGAATATTTTGAATAAAATCGAAACATATGTTACTTGCTGACTTATTGAATATTATATAAATATTATTGACTTAATGTTACTGAAACCAATGGATAGAAATTTTGGTAATGTGAGAAAAGGAAAACAGCTGATCAGTAGGAAATAATTAAAATTTTCTCCATAGTTATTAGGTTCAACACCAAAATTGCGTCTTGAATTGCTTATCCTCGTATCCTTATTCTCGGTGTTCTATTTCTTTACTGAACCTGAGGAACGCGTGGAAATTCCGAACGCAAGACCATGGCTAGTGCAAGATAAAATGTAGAATGTCTGAAAAAATTTAACAACTTCTTTATTCCTACAAACAACCAAGGCGTCTTATTTATGAGAAAACATTAAGCAGCGCTTATATGAAGGTACCTCGAAACGACAGAGAGGAGAATAAAAATCGTATACTTCACAATGCTGGAATATTATTTCAGAAACCACATTTCGTCCTTAAAAGCCTTATTCATATTCAAGGAAATGCTGGAAACCGAACAAAAGATTCCTACTGTATATCACTGCGCGAGAGTAGAGGAAATCTATTCAATTGGCGATGAGCTCCTTGCTCCAGGAAATCAGAACTATAGACTCTTCCTTGTTTGGAAGAAAATATTGGCAGGAATAATGCTCCTATGGGGAATATTAATTGAAGGAGCAGTCAGCAGTCTTTATAATAAGCAGATATAGCCAGATAGGCAGAGGTTTCGCTTTTTAAAACAAAAATTTCTTGCACACTATTCGTTCATTGGTTCTTTCATTGACGCCATATACTGGCGAAATTCTAAGCTTTGAACGTGAAAAACAACCAACAAAATCAAAGCGAACTCGATGAATTCACGTTCATTTGCCAGGCTATATGATGAAAATGAAGAAAATATCAATAGCAAGGCCAGATGGCATTGCCACTGATAGATTTGTACAGTTCAGCGATGGAGTTCCTGCAGAATGTGAGCCATTCATTATATAATGAACGTAAAGGGTATATTTATTTGTTTTATCTGGTTGACATTCATTCAAAATTTAATGGATCCTTGACTGCAATGCAAAGATGTCAGCCTTATTCAATCTCGAACAATCTCGTTCAGCTTTCAGAATTTTTGGGATATAAATCGCTAATAGCGACCTTGGATATTTTGGAAATTTACAGCAACTGAAACGAAGAAAACCAAAATCTAATTGATCTAATCTAATCGATATTCTGGGATTTTCGTAAAACTTAAGCAAATGATTCATGAACTGAAGATAAGATTCGCAGATATATGTATTATTCCTGATTGGGTCCTAACACTTTTCAACTCCAAATTGGACGAAAATCACATTGAAAGCATCAAAACTCTCGCCGAAAGGGCGGACATGACCGTTGATCCTGGAGCCAAAGTATTATCCAGAAATATTCAGCAACAAAAATCTATCTTGAATCATATTGGGTAGCTGAGCATATTATTCCTATATATCCCAAGTTTTCTGCATGATAATTTCATTGCTTCCTCTTATTATGGCAATCCATACTTCTTACGTGGTTGAGGCTGGATTTAGCCCATTTTCAACCGCAAAATGAGATATTTCAAAAGAACCAAGAGCCTTGAAAGTGATACTCATGAATGGCGAACTTGATATAAACTTGACTCTTTCAAAACGTTATCCTCTTCATTAAAAGCAAATATTCCATTGCCATTTAAAAAATTCTGTGTTAATGTTAATTTCTCCTTGCAACACTATCTTAAAGAACTTACCTATTTATATAAGCATTTTTGTGCAAAATCCTGCAACATATTTCGAATTATAATGTTCTTATTTTATTTGAATGGCATCAATATATTCATTCAAAACTCTTAAGTGGGAAAATTTAATAAATATTTTTTTGAAACTTATTTTTATTGAAAATACCTTTTTAAACTTAAAAACATTGTGGATCCATGCATTTTCACAGCATCGCCTATAGGATATATGGGGGGAAAAATGTTTTTGCCGACCCCTGCTCTAAATTATCCTTATAAGCACCATGACCTGCCTAGTGTGACGAGGATATTTTCAAGAACCTCGGACAGGCGACTTATCTGAACCTCTATCTCCCAATAGCTTCCCTAAAAGTATCTCATCTTATTTATAGCCGATTAAGCGGTTCCAACCAGAAATGTGGTTCTGCTCCATTTTCAGGTAGATAATTAAACTATGAATCAATCAATATTAAGGACTCCATTAGGATAGATTCAACCAGTAGCATTATATAGTAATAGTAATTTGATTAGTATATAGTAATAGTAATTATATAGTATTATATAGTAATAGTAATTTGATTACCTGAGGGCCAAGATCTCCTTTTCGGCCAGGTAGTCCGGTCGCACCCATCTCGCCTTTAGCTTCGAATTCTCTTCTTATATCACTACCATATGCATTTTCACCTAAACAACAGATTTTTAGACTGCAACTGTGGTTGTCGCCATTATAAAACTATTTTATTTTTTGCTACTCGCCTAGAATTTTATGAGCTGAAACATTCTGTTCCAGTTGGTGCTAAAATTTCTAGGACTAGAATAACAAAGTTGTTCATATTATCAAAAAGAAAAAATATTATATCATCGGTAAAATTGGAAAGCAAACTGAGTATTAAAATTAAAATAAATAATAAAATAATCTAAAATATTCTAAGTAGCATCCTTTATGGTTCATATAATATTTTTCTTCTAACATCATTCCTAGTTTGACTGGTTCCACTAATTATTGGGGAGAAATTGTTTCACTAAAATTCATTTGGAGTTAAAAGCACTGTTGGACAAATAATTGTTATTGTTATAAAAGCGTTATCAAAAGAAATTTTAGGAGAGTTTGTGGGTGTTTTAAATTGCATGAGACTTTAGTCTTCTATTCAATATTAAAAAATGCAAGCATCTAATTTAATTTTGTAATATACCTGTTCTCTTTGATTATAAGTGATAAAGTCTACAGCTATCAGCTATCTTCATTTAACAGCATGTTGGTTTATTCTCCAGAGGAGATTATTTACAGGAAAGTGTCTATGGCCAGGTTCGATGCCATGCTAGAAACTAACTGATAAAGGCACTCATTTTTCCATCCTCTAATATATCGCTTGACTATCTATTTTTTATTTTCAAAACTTTCCCCGACTGTATCAATCCAGATTTTGATTGATACTACTCTCTTTTGACGCCGTCCATGCAAGGCTTAGTAACCGTTAATTCCTGTAATGAGCAGCGAAGAACATGACCTAAGTAGCATAGATGACGCTTTGTGACGATGTTGTTAATGTAGGTGGTATTTCAGCAGTCTTACGAGATTCCATCTGCTCAGAGAATGAATTGGAATTTTATCCTTAGTTTTACTTTAGTAGAAAAGCAAATTTAAGGGAGATTAACATACATTTGAATAAATTGAAATATCATTAATAATGAAAAGTAAAAGCCTAATATAATTCCATTGAAAATACCCGCTCTAACTGGAATATCACTGGAAATGCGATCTACTCGATGACGATCATTTAAGAATATTCTAAACAAATCCATGGTGATATCCAAGTTATTAATGGCATTCGACAATTTATTTTGAGATGTCGATCAAAGTGTTCAGCTCAAATTAGCAAAACGATGACAATTCTAAAAATTTGAAGCAATAAGCCTTTTTTGCTAAAAATTCTCTAATAAGTCTCCACACCTTTTTCTCCTTTCGGCCCCGGCGGTCCAATTAATCCATCAAGTTCAAGAATACGTGCATGAAGATTTCTTATTTGCTGAAAGAAAACTAATTGAAAAAGAAGGAAAGAAAGGAAAAATGTGATGTGAAAAATGAATTGGTGAGAAATAAAAATACTAAATTACTAAGAGTTTTTTGCTACGATTTGATTTTGTTTTGATTCAGCAGATTTTTTGATTTTTGTTTAATTGGTATCAAAATAGTAAATAGTTCTTCAATTCAGTTTTTGGTGAAAAAAAACTGATAGAATTTCCTTCAAAGCAAGAAACAATTTGGAGGAAAAAAATTGGAACGCTCTCCTCTCTTCTAGCAATCAATTTATTTATTTATATTGCGATATCTTCTTACCTCGAATAGGACTCCTAATTCCGACCTATGTTTGCCTAATTCGTTTTCTATCATCAGAATTTGATCGTTTTTTGGAATAGCAGACATGGCTGTGACGAGAGCTCCGATAACCTCGACGATTAGCAAATACATCGAAAACAAAATCGTTTTAAAATAAATGATCCTTAAAGCCAATATTCGCATAGGGAAAAGTGTTGATAAAAATAAATAATTATTTGTTCCAGGTGCACATGCAAGTGACTTGAATGTTTGCGCTCCTTTTAACAGTATTCTAGTTCAGCTAGCTCCATTGGCTATTAGGATGAAATCTCACCGGAGTGCCACTTGGAATTGGAAATATAGCCATCCCGAGTCGCTTTTGATGGCAAGTTCACTCTCCTCACATAGGAATCTAACCTATAATAGTCACACTAACAAACCATAGTCGAACATCGTCATTCTCAGTAATCGACCCATTCTATCCTAAAAGGTATGCAAAAAGCAATGAGTAATTCTTATTCTCGAATTTTTGTGGAGTAATAAAAAGAACAAATATATTTTCAACTAGTAGACTCATTGTTAAACACTCCAAAAAATTCAAAATTCATAAAAATTCATTCACAAATCACTAAATATAACTGACGAACAAGCTGATTAGTAGCAGGATTTGTATGATATTTGTATCAATAATTTTTATTCCATTAAAGCAGTTGGCAGGTTGGAAAACTCCAAAAATATTAAATAATGGTTTTATTATATTTAAGATTTTGATTTCTAATTTATGACTTGCTGATTTATGCTCATTTCTTGACGGTCACGGATTGTGTCATATTTTTCCTTGGATATTCCTTTATTCGCTTTTGTGCTGAAATATTGAAGCTTAAAACACAAATTGGGATTAGAATGGTTCAGTGGGTTGTTGCCCGATTCGGAACGCCGATGCTGAAGTTCTATTCCCAGTAACAAATAAATCTGCCCAAAAATCCGGGTGATGCTGGCGACTCACCTGTATTTCTATCGCTTGGTATATTTTTCCAGTGCGACAAGCCAGCGGAGCAAGTTTAACTAGAAATAGTGAGGACCCTAAGAAAAAAAGACACAAATTTTGCTATCCAAGCATCAGTTGAGAATGAACAAGTCGTTGTTACTTTTTAAAATTAAGATTCTAGATTTCGAAATACATTATTTTCAACGTGAAAAGAATCGAAAGACACTACGCAGTAGTCGAAGCTATTGTTTAATGGATGGCTGTTTCGGTGCTGCATTTATTCCTCTCTCAACGTAGCCTCCACTTAAGGAACTGACTCCTATAAAAGACCGAAAAAAATCGAACAAATATGGTAATATGTTACCATTAAAAATTGTTTTCACGATTTGGATATAAATAATAAAAATTTCTAAACTCCGCTAGGACGAGTACTCATTCCCAATGGAGAGAACACATTATTTTTAAGTAAAAGAGAATTAGAAAGTACTTTTCCCAAATTTATATCTTTTTAATGAAATTTTATTTTCTATAAGCGAATTTTATTTGTTTTCAGAATTTCGTCCCAAGCGACAATGCGCGACAATCATTCACATGCATACTGCATAAAGAAATCGGTTAGTACCATTTTCTTTACGCTTATTTCTCGGAGAAACAAACCTAATAAATCCATTTAAAAAGATATAAAACGGATAATGCTTTAGCTAATAGGTGGAAATTATAGTAAATTATAATTATAGTAGATAAGGGAACAAAAACTTTGAACTTAAAAAATTTCATCTTAATTAATCAACGCCTAAAATAATTGTATTCGATGATTTTCGCGATCGGACACAATAATTGTATCCTCTAAAAGTGCAACCGCTTCGATACCCTTCATTTGACCAGGTGCAGTACCCCAAGCTCCAAAACTATACATAAATCGTCCATCTGGATAAAAAATCTGAACACGGTTATTTCCGCTATCTGCTACCACGATGAAGCCCTGTAAAAAGAGAGGATTTTTTAAATTCCGTATTATTAATTCCATATTGATTTAGGATTTGTGGTATCCACAATAATTTTACTTTGATCCTTGATTTTTACAATAGATAATAGGAAATTAAATTAAACTTTTTCTCTCCCTCTTCTCCTAGTGTAAGATTGAATTATTCGGTAAGAAAAAAGAAAGTACAGAAAGTAATTTACAGTTAAAAGAATAAAAATAAATAAAAAAAACAAAAAAATACATATTCTCTTAAAATATGAAAATACGTGTAAGAACTGGTGCATAAATAACTAGTGATCGGATTGTATATGTTATCCTACTTTATTTATTGAAGTACTCTAGTTATATAGATTATAAAAATATGGACCTGTTCATCCACAGCAATTCCACGAGGATTCTTCATCTCGCCAACACGATACCCCTCCTGACCAAATTGAAAAAGTGGATTGCCGTTGTGATCGAAGACACAAACTCGATGATTTGAGCTATCAGTAACATAGACGTTTTGAGTTCGTTTATGAATCGCAATGAACTGCGGACTGTACAGATCTTCATGCGATGCACTAGTTATGCCAAATTTGGCTAGAAATTGCCCTTTCAAGTCGAATATTTGAATACGATGGTTGTCCTTAATCAGAGATAAATCAATGAAGCGGGAAAAAAACAAGAATGTCCATGAAATAACTTATTATGCAAACTGAAATAGAATTAGAAATAAAATTTCCATGAAAATTCTACCTTCTTTTGATTCAAGTAAAATTTAAAATTTAAAAAAACATATTTGACCAAAAAAAATAGGACGACGAACGAATATTCGGATGGTTAAGATTAAGCCATTATGGATTTGACTCCTGCCCCTTGATGGGAACGAACCTGAGTAATGTTGAGCACTCACCTGCATCTCTGTTCTCCAAATGATCCCCGGACGAATGGAATTCATCCTAATAGTCAGCCAAACCAGAAATGATGTACGCTTTTAAAAGAAAAATATAATCGAATGGTTTAATTTTTTCATTTAAAATCCGTCATATATTTTGATTCACAATAAATTCGATTTAATATTCAAAAATGCTTCTAACCTTATCAGCAATATGTATAAGTCCGCTATCATCGATGGCTACACCCCACGGATTATTAAATCGACCATTCGATGGTCCATGACCTCCGAATTTTCTGATAAACTGTCCATTTTGATCGAAAATCATTATTCGATGATTATATCGATCCGAAACGATCAACTGTTTCATTCGATTGCAACAAATATCTGCCGCGCTATCAAGTTCACCATCACCAGTACCGTATTTCCCGAAAATTTTTATGAGTCGACCCTGTGTGTTAAATATACAGACCCGATGGTTGCTGCTATCACATACAGCAAATTCGTTACCCGAAATAGTTGTTATACCTCGAGGCCAATTCAATTCACCTTCTTTACTGCCTTTTTTACCAAATACGAATTTTGGTTTATTTTTTGATTGATAGTCGATGCTACATATGAACCGAGGTGATCGCATCAACGATATTCTAGCATCGCTTGATTTCTCACGTTCCACAGCGCTTGAGCGTTTACGATATCTCGATCTTCTATCGCTACAAGCCGATGTAGATATATCGATATTACTCGTATATGTTTGTGTATTAGTGGTGGCAGCTTCAGAAGTGCTATTCTCCAAACTCTCCTGACGCAAAGTTGGTTGAAATCGTTGTAAGAGCGACGATTCTAAACGATTTGACCGTTCAAATAATAATTGCTGTATGCGACTAGTGTTAGGCGAAGCAGCGCTAGAAAAGCTAGAAGCGTGGCTAGACAAGGCAGCAATAGCTGAAGCTAGATCAGGATTCGTCTTCGAGCGTTGATAACGCTGACGACGTCTTGCTAACCATGATGGAGTCTCACCTGGATAATGTTGTATGGGTATAGGTGATGGTGCGCTCTCACTGCAAGCAGGTGCTGTCAATTCTGACACCGATGCTAATACTGGCACATTATTTGGAGAAGGAGACGCCGTTACATTAATAATCTCATTTTTTGTTAATTTACTCTCGAGTTTAGGCAGAAAACTTGAATCGATGCTTGTCTGCGATCGACAAATTATTCGAAAACGATTACCAGTTAAGACTGGTGGCGATTGATCATTATCACTTTCGCTTTCTTCACTTGAATGTATAACAATCGTTGTTTTCGTTGCTTGTTCTGGTAATGACTCGATATTTTTAAGTTCACGACGTTTTTCGTGAGCAGCACGAATTGATTCAATTTTCTCATTTAGGCTCATATCATCTGATGAGAACTGCCGAGGCAATGGTGCTTTATGAGACATTTTTGAACAAGTTCCAGTAGCAATTTGTGGGTCAATATTTTCATTATTTGTCAGATTGGTGACCTGATTAGTTTCAAAAGTTGGTGTATGAGAAGATGGTTGAGTCTCAATAATAGATATTTGCGCATTTGGTGTGTTAACTATCGTTGGTATTGGTGTTCGCCTCTGTCTCGTCATGGTCATATTCTGTGTCACATTTTTCATATTTTTCGCGACATTTGTTTCTTGACTCTTTACAAAAGCTTTGGTAATATTATTTATTTTTAATTCAGTTATTTCCTTATCTCTTTGTACGCGATCTGTAGTCGGTACCATCAGAACCGTAGGTTGTTCTGGGAGAAATTGAGTAGATTCAAATGCGTTCACAAAGCTACCTTGATTATGAGATTGGAAATTCTCAGTTGCACCAAAAGTACAAGGATTATTTCGATTTTCAGATGAATTTTCATTAGATATTGCACTTGCATTAGGAACAACTGATCGACTCCAAGGATTGTTTCCTGGTATGTAATTATTTGGTGACTGCCGACCATTATCAAGATTTCCCATTCTTAAACGATTCCAAGCTTCTTCTTCAATTTGTCGTCGACGTAATCGCGTCGAAATAATATCATCATCATTATTCCTTGAATGCCTCATTAGTGAACGAGCATCACTCTGCGATCGATTATCATCGATATCATTGCGACGGGAAAATTTACAGTTATCAGATTCATAACCGATTCGCATTGGTCGTGGAAGATATGAATGTTCAAGCGGTAAGTAACGACCAGCAAACTGTGGTAGTGATACTGTAAGCTCTCCGAAATTTGCTATTGCATTTGGCAGTTTCGATGCGTCATCACCAGGTGAGAAACGCAATTTTTTTGAGAAAAGTTCATCCGCATCCGGCTAAAATATTCAATTGCGTTTTCCAAAATTTTTCTCATTTAAATTTTACATTAAAACTTTAGATGAGATTCAAATTTAGATAGTCATAGGCACAGAATAAGTTGTTATTCATTAGATCACCATTTTAAATCATGGTTCAGGTTTTTATGGTAGGTCTCTCTTAAGTATTAATGTTAATGTGATTTAAAGATTAAACTAACTAAGACCTGGAAATTTCGCAAATATTCTAAGCCATCGCCGAAGATATTTTTTAGTTTAGCAAATTCAGTATCTTGAACTTCGCGTTCACCTTTCAACGCTGCTTCCAAGTAAGTACAACCTGAAAAAGAAGTGAATCGAAAATTCTACGACATGATTTGGTACAATGGAATTATATCAAAAGCTCTAAGCTTACCTTCACTTACATTTGAAATTTCGATTTCTAGTACATCTCGAAGATTTCTCATCAATCTTGTCTCATTCGCATGAAAAGTGTCGATTTCTTGAATGAACATATCCTCACGCTTTTTTAATTCACGATAATAACGTCGAAAATATTCGTGGACCTACAAAGGACAGTTGAATCGTATATATATTTATTGTATAAAATTTAAAAACTTAATTATTTAAGTATTTTTTTTATCTTAATTATTTATTATATAAAATCAATAAAATTTTTAAAGATATCATCAAAATTTCGTGATTTTATTTTCACATATTATTTCTTTTCTGGCAACTATGAATTATATAATGTACTCACCTCATCTTTTGCTGTTTCACAATTTAAAGTCAATAGATCAGCACCTTTACTCAAACCATCTGATGCTTCAATAATACGACTTGAAAGACGTTTTACCTAAATAATTTACTGCAGATAAAATAAAAAGATAATAATTAATTGAAAATCGCCAAATGAAATTATTTGGTTATCAACAGTGCAAGAAAAATTTAGCTGGTAAATTTGTAACGAAGCACTAACTAATGATTTTTCAGTAAAACTTTAGGAAAATTCCTCAAATTCCGAAATTAAAAGCCATAAATGTGATTACGCTATTAATTTTGTAAATAACGCATCATTTTGCGTTATTTTTCGCATTATTTCAGATAGGCAACCGATTGATATATTCCTTCAGTGGCTGACGTCAGCATCATGGGTCCGATTCTTGTTGAGGAAAGAAAATATGTTTAAAGTGGAATTCATTAAATGTGGTACTCTTTTCCTAAGTGAGCCCTTCGCAAACGGCTCTCATCCTAATAGCCAGTGAAGCCAGCGAAATCAAATGCTTTGAAGAAGAATTTCGAAAAAGAATTTCGAAAGAATTTTCTTCCAAAAAACTACTACGAAATCAATAAAATTGGCAAATCGAAACTTATCTAAATGGATAAACAATTAATGTACCTACGAAACCCACGAAATATCATTTAAGATGTTTGGGAGACTTTTCGAATTTGGGCATTTATCGTTTCCTGGAAGAGCTGAAGTAATCATTTCATGAACATTTGTTTTCAGAAATAAAATAAATCTTTTTTTGAATGGTTTATTTTACAATTTTCAGCATTTTTATCTCATTTTTCTCGAATTTAACTTTCGCAGAAATTTTAACTTAAAAATTCAGCGAATAATAATATTTTTTCTGGTTTTATCTAAATTAGTACTTTTTCAATTCATTTTAGCTATTTTACACTTTTATATTGACTGCTGAGATTCGCTTGTCAGAAAGTCAGTCATTTGGAGGAAATAGAAGTACAAGTAGATCCCACCAGAATCGACGCCATGTACCATACCGCCCCTAACTTATTGAAGAATCATCTTGGTCACTGAATTGAATTATTTATTAAACACAAACTGCGTTCTTGTAACCAGTAGAGCCGGGTTAATTATTAATGATACGCATCGGCGAAATGATCTGAATTGAATGAGGAATCTGTTCGTCACATTCGAATGCTAATATATATCGAAGCCGAGTTACTGACAGCCCGAACAAGAAATTTTTAATATCATTCTCTCGTCACAAACCCGTACCCCTCTGCACGAAAAGAGCAAACTTGTCGTCGAAAAATTCCAGTGATGTTGACTGCTCCTATCGCCAAACGAAAATTCCTAACCGCACAATCAGTCAAGTAAAGCGAGTCTAACCAGAAATGGAGAGCACTAACATACTTATCAACTCAATCTTATTTTCTTCACGTTTAAACGAAGAAGACTTCATTTGACTTCGTCTGGATTGGATGATATTGGCATATTATTACAATGTTTTTCACTGAGGATGTTTCGAATTCCTCTACTGTTACTGTAATAATTTGCAAAAATATTTATTCTATTGTTCATAGTAAGTAAGTATTAAATATATTAAATATTGATCTTACATTTCACATTTCGCTTTCTTTCGCACTGCATTGTATTTTTTAAAATTTTTTCTTAGAAAAATATGAGTTTCATTCTAAGTTCGATGAAAAGTTGGATGGAATTTGACGATAAAGTTATCAAATTCACCTGATTGAGCATTCGACTGAGGTCTCTTTTCAGCATATCCATATGTGTATTCCTACAGTCAGCACATGCACGCCTTTCACAGTGTGCACACACTTCTAAAACCGCTTTTTCGTCACATATTTTGCATCGTTCCAAATTATATCTGCAATTTAAAATATTTATTCAGATTTCACATAAATATTACAGACCTAAAATGCCAAAGTCGAAAAATCACAGAATCATAATCGTAAATTAATGGAATAAATTTTAGAAATATGAAATTCTCGACGCTGAATGCGTCAGGTGGATTTGCATGGATAAATTGAAGGAGACAAATCTTCCGCCGTCCTCCAAAATCCAATTTATCAATCTACGCGTTTTCGATTTTTACGAAATTTTTGTTTTAAAATCCAAGAATAAAACACTTATTTCGAGAATTTGTCAATTCGTCAAATTACAATTACTATTACAATTTATTTTATTTTATCGTTTTGCTTTATCATCTGGAAATCAGAGTTTTTGAAATGAATTGTAAATAATCAAACTATTATCCATTTCAATCTCCCTGAACTGGATTAAGGAAAATTAGAAGCAAAAAAAATTCGTTTAGCAAATGATTCATTATTTATTTGCGTCATTCTTCCTATCACTTGCTGGTGCAATTTTGAAAGTAGGATTAGCTTTTAGAATCTGTTGATCCGAAACTTACAGTAATTTTCATTAAAAATCAATTGTCCGGACTAGGTCAAAGGTTATAAGTCTAAGCTTATATTAATGAGCCGATATAGTTCCAACATTCTCATAAATTTACATCCATCGTGACAAGGGTTGCAAAATTTTGAAGTGGAAATAAATGTTAAAATGGCAAAAAGATTAAGAAGCAGATTAAGAAATATGCGTAAATTTAAAAGAAAACGATTCCAAACTGATCTCAGTTAGAAATAAGTTCAGTTAAAAAAGGATTATTCACAATAATTTATACCATTCCATATAAACGAAAAAATTCGGGTTATTCAGGCAACAAAAGCTACTGCAAAATGTGTCTCTTGGATAACCAACAATCTCGCAAATATTCTAATGGAAATGAAAACGGATAAGAAGGAAAGAAAAGAAGAAAATTAAAAAAATGAGTTGTTTTGGTTGACCTATGGATGTAAGCTTCCAATTGTTCGGCATTATCATCTGTCGCTTGAATATGTACATCAAGAAATCCGATGAGTGTATAATTGGTTTGTAAATTTTTAATACCATCGTATGGAAGTGGATGTTCAGCACGACATTCTGGACATTTTAGAATCCTCCGGACAATGTCCGCACAATTCTCCAAACATGATTGACAAAACGTGTGGTGACATGGTAGAAGCTTTGGCTGCCTGAAACTTTGAAAATTTAACTGATAAATTTTCGAACTAACAACTGTAATCAGTAAAAATGCTTCTATATTAACAAGTGAATATGAATTCCTAATTTTTATGCATATATATATATATATATATGTATAATTAATAGGTAAATTTTTAAATTTAACATGGGATAATTTCACATTTAATACTTTCTGTATCGAGTTATTCTGTAATAATGAATAATTTAGCATGAAGCAAAAACTCGCAAATGCTTTTTGCAGGTCATTCATAAAGCGGTGGTTGTTACAAGATTATTTTATATCGCAGAAGTAGTTTTAAGAAAGTAAACATCGGATGCAAATCATAAGTGGAATACACCCACTCAACACTTTTTTCTTACGAATATATATGTGTACTCTAAGCAGAAGTTTTGTTATTTATCAATCGCAAGTTATCACGACTCAGATATAAGTAAATCGCCAACATCAGCCATTTTTAATGACAAGCTCCTTTCTGTTAAGAGGTGGTAGAATTTCAAGCTTTGGATTGAATTGGAATTTTCTGGTTTTCGCTTGACGCAGATGTCGGATGGCATATCCAAAATAGCGATTTATGCCTCTTTATTTACAATTGTTATTACTGACGTAAAGAACATAGAGTTAAAAAATTAAACTAAACTTGCCAATTTCTTTGTTTATAAACTTTAATTATTCAATTACAACTGCGTTTCAGCCAATATTTTTAAAAGTAATATTTTACAAATAAATTAAATTAAATTTAGAAGCAATTTTTTTAAAGCCAAACAATTCAGAAGTATTTTAAATGTAAAAGGTAATAAGAAATCGAAGAAAATTATGCGGTGAAGTGAAAAAGCTTTTCTATTCCATTTTGCCTTCATTAGCAGATCGAAGAAAATTTTTAAATTTTCGCCATAAATCTTTCGCGACCTTCTCCCATCCCCTCTCCTCCAAAATTGGCTTGCAAATATAGCAAGCGAAATTCGAAGCTTACTTTGTGGAGCAAAATCTTCAAAGGAGTGGCTGTGAATGAAACTGGTTCGCCTCAACTAATATCTTATAAGAAAAATTAGCGTGTTAGCCATCGCCGACATCGAAAAATCTATGAAAATATCAACGAAAAAAATTTAATAGCCTCGGGAACAGTCAACTTGATTAGAGGAAATTTTTGAATTAAAGCAGTGGTTTATGCAAATCGAATAGCAAGATAATCATGAAATAAGAAAGAGGAGCTTCCCTTTTCATGCGAAATACGTTGGTCTCAAAAAGCATGAAGGAAGAAAATTTTGCGATGAACACTTACTTATATCGATCAAAGCATATCGGACATGTGAGAAGCTGTTCAATCTTTTCGAGAGGATTCTCGAATTCTGGTGGACGAGTCGATGGCGGTGTCAGCAATATTTGTCGTATTCGATCCAGTGGTGCATCCGAATTTAATGTATTCGAACTTGATGGTGAATTATCACCATTTTTTGAATTACCCGATTGTGTTGAAGTCATAACACAGAATTAGCGATGATGGCGAAACGATGAAAGTTATACGAGGCGACGGCAGTGAGACGAATTAGCGATGTGGATTGAACGCCTCGAGCTCGATACATTCGAGTTTTAAAATGTTTTGAAGATGATATAACTAACCAAGTTCTTAAGCAACAGGAACGCGAAACTAGGACGAGACGGGAAACAACTGTCGAGAATTCGAAACGCTAACAAAAGATTAAAACGACAGACATCGACAGAAGAAATTAAATAAGTGCTTTTAGCGAGGGTGATGTTGAGGAAACGCATCCTTACTGCCGACTTACTTGCTTGCGATCGATGCTAGCTTTACAGGTTCATCAGATTCGACCTGAATATCGCCAATTTACCGATTTCTTCAGAAAATACTTCCATGTAAATCATTCACTTATGCATATAAGATGTAATATGAAATTACTGTAAAGAACATTTTAAAAATGAAAGAATTTGCTAATTTTGACATTAATTTGGAAGAGCTTCAGCTTCGTCCCTCATTATTTAACAACCACTTCGATCCTCGCAAAACTCCTCCCCATTTGGGAGCAATATCGCCGAATACAATTCCAGTTTGTCTCCTGACACCAGGCAATCCTATCACCACTACAAAATGTGAGCATTGCTGAGGTACTTCTACTAATAGGTGATTCTCTGGTTAAAATGCCTCGTTCTCTTAAAAATTTACAATTAACGATTTCGTAGTTTAAGCTTTCAAATGTCATCAATTCGTTTAATGCAGATTCACATGACTTTCAACAATTGTTTTCAGATCGAAAAAAGAACAGACTGGCTTTCAAAAACTTTTTTCTGCTATCTTCGACTTCTTCTCCCTGATTGTGCAATTATCAAACGTGAAATCGACATAATGCTTAACGCCCAGTAGCGCTTAGATATTCCTGAACGTATTAAACATCTGTGACCCAATGATTTTTCAAATGTTTTCATTTTGTGTTGGTTCTTTTGCTAATTTTTTCCAACAAACCTATAAAAACACTATCGGTTTAACGATTAGAATTTCAGAGTTTGCTTGATATTGAAATTCGTAGTAAGAATTATACGTACTGTTAGGGAATTATAATTTTATAAAAATTATTGAAAAAATTGAAATTCATAGTAAGAATAATTCAATTACAACTGAAGCACTTATTATAACAAAAAAAAAACGAAATTCGCATAAATAATAACAATAAAATAGATATTTATTAATATAAAAACCGACCGAATCAATTCAAAAGATATTCAAAAAGGATATTCAAATATCCTATCTTCCTGACCCTTAATTTGGGCACTCTTCTTGCAGTTACTATGGAGTGCACCAGTCTAACTTCAAGAGACTCTCTAGCGAAAGTTCAGCACAGCAGATAGTGGAACCAGCCAAACCATAAATGAATGCTGTTTAGAAGATTAATTCATAAATATAGAATGAACCCAACCAAAAATAAATTCAGTAAAAACTATAAAATTCTTTTTCTATTTCAAAACAATTTGCCGCATTAATGTGGCAGTCAACTTCTCAAGACGTTTTACATCCTGCAATAGTTCTGTACTATATTGCAAACATACAATATCATTTGTCATTTTCAACACCAATTTGCCATTTTTATGATCGTATTTTGTAACGAATCTAAATTAAATGAATAAATTATTGAACTCTGTTTTGCATAAAGTGATAAATGAAAATAAATTATGAATGAATAAATTATTTATCAGATCATCTGTCTTCACTGAATGAAAAATTTTGTAGAGAGAAAGAAAATTTTTACTATTTCATAATGAAGGCCTCCAAGCTTACATGAACGTATTATTCCTTTATTTGGGTAAACTGAGGATTAAAATGGACAAATAAATAGCTGGATGAATATAAACACAAAATGGAAAATAAAAAATGAAAAATGGAAAATACATACAACAGTGTTGCCATGTTATTTTTGGAAGATTAAAATACTTCGAAAATAATTGTGTAAAAATACTTAATTGCCTTTATATAATAAATTAGCGAACTTTTATCCAACCAGCGAACTCTGTGAAATTCTTCTCAGAAAAATTAACCAAATTCCTAATCTCTATTTCAACTTTTTCAAATAAAATTTCCAATTTAATAATATATATTAATAACAATACTAACATTAACAATAACAAACTTTGAAATCACTGCTTTACCTTCTAAATGTAAGCAAATAAAATAAGCAGTTGGGGCATTTGCGGTTTAGCAGACAACTGGAAATTACTACCAAGGAATCACATGGCGATTAAAATACATGCCTGGGTCACCAGCAACACCCAGAACTACCTTTTCTTGTCGCTCTAAATTTTTACCTTTTAGAAAAAACTTCTACAACTTAACAACTTCTCTATTCTCTAAAAACTCTAAAAACTTAGCAATATATCCCTGAATATGCATCAGCATATCCCAGAAATATACAGTACCTACCCGTTAAGAACAACCCAACTGGCATATATTCATCTCCATTCTGTTTAAACGCACTCATTCTTGCAATGCATATAATGTATATAATATTAGTTGACATTATAATCGATAATGAGGAATATCAGTGCCAATTCGTTTTTACTTAAATTTCTGGTTAAACGTCCCTTCGTAAGTATCTTCTTGAAGTTGTTATGTGCTATACTTCAGTTGCAATAAAGGCTGTCTACTAATTGATCAATTAATCAGTTTGCTTTCTCGTATACCGTTAATAATTTCCTGACACTTGTGAATAATTTCGTGATATGTGCAGTTCGATCCATTAATGAATTCTAATAACTTTAATGTCAGAAGGGATAAAACTCAGATTTTATAATTTTAACAATTATATTTTTGGAATGAGTCTAAATGTCGCTTCTTGAAAACTTAGCTAAGGTCTTAAAACTTAGCAAAATCACTGATGAGATAATTAGAATATAATTAGAACATCAATAAAATCAGAATTTCATTTGATCTTCCTCTTCTTATAGCTCGTATAGCTGCTCTTCGTATACCATTACTGGTTAGGCTAGCCACATGAAGGTAATGCACTTCCAAACCGCTGAATGCAATACCAAGCCTGAGATTAAAAGAAGACACTCGTTTTTCCACCAACTAGGCCGTAAATCCATATGTCGCTAGGTAATTTATGCATTATTTGTACGTTTAAACCCCTTCTAATTGTAATCAGCCCTGGTCTTGATTGGTCTTCATCGCTTTTGGTGCTACCCATCAAGGGCTTAATAAATAGCGAGATATGTCTCAGTTCGTACAATATGCGGCGAAGAACACGGCCTAACCAACGTAGGGCGACGCTTTATGACGATATTTTGGAGAAAATAGTAGTATTTGAGCGAAGTTGGATACAATCAACATGCAAAATAGCCCACAGATAAACCAAAAATAAATAGTGAAAGTAGTAGAATTAAGGAGATTTCTTAGCACCTTCCACTTCCATTGGCCATGTTCTACAACTGCATAACAGGCACTGCAGCCACAGAGGTGAATTTTCGAAGATAATTTCGCTGATTCCATAGAAATTTCGGAAGACAAAAGAATGCATTTCTAGCTCAATTTATATGCTGCCACTTCCTCTTTCGCTTGGCCATTTGGTATAAGAGTGGATAGAGGATATTTAAAATTTGCCACTTCCTCAGATGAAGAAGAAAAAAAGAAAACTACATATATGACGAAATATATATATATGATATATAAATGACGAAAAAGATTTCATCTTACCTATCTTAAGTCTGATTTTTGCTGCAGTTATCGATATACTGTCTAATACATATCGTGCATTCCTTCACAATTGTCAGCATTAGCGTGTTCAACATCGGTGATACTATGCTCTGGACTGACAAGTGCACTTGAATGTAGCCAAGCTATGTCCATATTCTAATCGCATAGATAAATATTAGAAGAAAGGAAGCAGTCCTGATAGTTTTTATTTCGAAACAGTCTGCCACTTCCCCATCATTTAATTTACATAATGTTTTGATTTATTAAATTAATTTTATTTCTTCTAAATGCTCAGTAGCATACTTGACTTCGTTAACTTTATTGAACATTAATGCAAGATAATTCCAGTGAATAACCAAAGGCACCTCACAATTGAACTTCACCTGTAGGGACAAACCTATTCGAATTAGGGAACAAGGATCGAACCTATGAACGCTTTACAATCTTTAGGGCCTTAGAGTCCAAGTAAGACCACTCGACTACCATGCACTCCTTCTAATATATGCTTTCTGCTTTATTTCTGTTTTTTGTCCAATATCATATAATTTTTTCCCTTTAATTTTTTCCTTTTCTTTCATTTCCTCAAATACTCTTTTCCAAACAGAATGTTAATTTGAAAAAAGAAAAAAATAAACCTGCAACGATTTGGATCACTTAAGAAAAGCCTTTCGACAGCTTTCGCAAATTCTTCCCAATTTGTAAAATAAGTCATATTCATGAAAAAAAAAGAAATGGACAATTTGATAAATAGTTTATCCTAAAAATATTTCCAAAAATTTTCGCAAAACAGGTTTAAAGCAATATCCTCGAGATTATGAGGATTGAAATCTTCAAGAAACTAGGGATGCTGACCGTTACCTAGCTGGGTCAGTTGGATTTTGATTATTTTCCTGGAAATATGGAAGCCTGTGAATGGTACCACGCCACCCCAACCCTCGGGTAACATATCGAAGATAGTATGCCAAGACTTTGTTCTCTTTACAATATTTCCCCTTCTCTCATTTCAATCCAATCCACACCACTATGACTACGTAAATACCACAACTCTCCTATATCGCCATATCATGAAATACGTACCAGAATAGTCATTCATGACGGATTATCGTTTTAAAACAATCGTCTCGAGACCCACTCGAAATTGTTGGTTCGTTAGTTTTTTCTTGAATTATCATTTAATTTATTGAAACAGTTATTTAACCTTATAACTTATACTTGCTTGAGTTTATTCAAATTAATTTCCTAAATTTGAAGTTTTTCAGTTGCCGAGCGGAGCCTTTGGGCATAAATCGGCTAACTGGCGACGCACCTCTATTTCCGCTCCAAAATTATTCCCTGCAAAAATTTCTCACCCTGCCCAGCGTCCTATTTCATTTTCCATTTTATTTCTCATAATTCAAAACAAATGCCATTCACTACTTTTAGCGGAAATTCACCAACATTTCTTCGTTTTTATGCAAAATTATTTGATTCAAACCAAGGAAATTTATTTTGCAAAAAATTTTTGTCCATTTTATATATTTTATTTTTTCTGTTAGAATCTTTTTTAGAATAAGTTTTATTTTAAATTTTTGCTTCTTTTTGCAAATAACTTTTATTTTTCCCTGTTTTGTTTGTATTTCTGACTTTGTTTTATTTCGTTAGTTTTTTACAATAGCAATTTTCAGTCAACGATGTTCGAAGGAATAGAGTGGAGGGGAGAAGGAGATTCGCAGCTTCCGTTTGATTTTGTAGATGAATTGTTCGATGAAAATTCAGCAAAATGTGCATTGTTCAATGACGAAACGTTTACAAGTGGGTCGGAACGAAAATTGCAGAGATATAAGCGGTTTTGTGTTTTTGTTGTTCATTTGTTTTTATTGCTTCACCCTCCCCTCTACCCCCGGCAGAAATAGAAAAATTGTCTTTCGAAAAATTCGAGTGATGCTGGTGATCCGCCTTTATTACTTCTGTCGCTCAGTGGCTTTCGGGCCAGTCCAACGGTGCGAAACCAAAAGTGACGAATGTCAAAAAAAAAAGTTGTTTACTTTTTTTTAATTTTAATTTAATTTAATTTTTTTAATTTTTAATTTTTAATTTTAATTTTTAATTTTTTTATTTTATTTTTTATATAATGAAAAATTTTAATAAGACAAATAAGAAGTTTTCGTGTGTAATAAATACTGAGCTTAAGATTATTACATAAAATTATATAATTATATAATATAATTATATATAATTATAAAAGTTCAGTACAAATAAGGCAAATAAGAAGTTTCTTTTTGTTAAAAATTATATATAACTGAAATAATAACTGAACTGGATTTTTTAAAGTACTTGTAGAAAATCATGAATTCTATTTGAAGTTCTTATGTTCTTTAAAATATCCAGCTCATTCTATAAAAATGAGATTTTTTTATTTTCATGGTTATTCATAAAAAATTATTTTTTATTAATTTTTTCCAGAATCGCTCAGTTTCGTCGAGAACGAAGGAAGGAGGAAAGAGTTCGTCGTCGGAAGAATAAAAAATTATCAAATAGTATAACTGAACTTAAAATGGATATTAACATTTACATCGATTTCGGTTTTTCGTATGCGATGAATGATAAAGAAATAAAGAAGTTAGTGCGGCAAATGGGTCGCGTTTGGGGATTACAAAAAAGGTTAATCTCAAATTAAATTAAATTTCTCTTTTTTTTGGATAAAAAATTTTTTTGCTATAAATAAAATTTTAGGAAAGGGATTTTTTAGCATCAAATTTTTTTAAAAACTTTTGCTTTTTAACATTATTTTCATTATTTTTTTAAGGAATAACAGATTGAAAATCACGTTATTATCTCCTTGTAATCGATTTTTGGCTGAGAGCCGTCGGGTGCTTACTGGTTTTGATTTTTATTCGTGGAATATTAGCAATGATTCTCTTCAGGCAAAAATTTACTGTCAAGGAAATGAGAAATGATGGCATTATTTCTCTTAATTTTATTGTGGAGTATCATGTATTTTTTGTACGTTTAGTCTTCCTAAAGCGATCACCTATAAAAGCCAGTGGTGGACTGATCTATTTAATATTTCACTATCGCAGTACTATACTCTTGCTTTTAGCTTTATTTGTAATTTAGTCTTTAACTGTTCTTGAATCTTAACAAAAAAATTTTTGGATATGTACTATTGATATACTATTGATATATATATTTTTTTTTAGGAAATTCTTTGCGACAAATGTATTTATTTAAGTCCGGATGCTGATTTATTGCCGCTTTCTGCTGTTTCTTCTGATTATATTTACATTATAGGTGGTTTGGTGGATGAAACAGGTGCTGGTTCGTTATCAAGGAACAAAGCAGGTGGTTTTTCTTTTATCATACTAAGTAATATAAATGTGTTAACTCGGATAATGATGTGATTAGTCCTTGATGAAAAAAGTTTACTAAAAAGTTTACCAGAAAACTTTAAAATCACAGTTATTAAAATATTACTTAAAATTTATGCATAATTATTAATGTATAATATATTTCAGATGCATTAGGAATTCCTGCATATCGATTTCCTATTGTGGAAAATATGCGAAAAGGGGTAAAGGGAACGTTTAATTTAATGCTAAGTATCAATAATGTCGTAGAAATTTTAATTTTTTATGTTCTTTGTGGGCGGTGGGACAAGGCGCTTGGTCTAACAATTCCAAAAAAAAGTGGTTATTTACCTATTTATGATGAGAAATTAAGTCTTGTGTCCCAAAATTCCTTAATACTCTTATATCCAGCATAATCTTTCGAATCTTTCAAACCTCCTTATGTTCCTTTAAAGCTCTATCATACTTATTTCTTATGTTATTTCTTTTTCATGCGCCAATGGTAATCAAACTTTCTCGACTGCATAATCTGTTTAACATTTAACATTCCTCAGAATGTACATATACATCGCGAATCTGTAGTCTCGCAACGGTCGAGGCGAGACGCGACAAAAACTGATACTGAAATAATTGAGGTTTTGGTCGATTATGGCCTTGAATACAGGAATAAGAGCTCGAGTAGGCAATCATCAGAAATTATTTCGTCCACTTTACAAAAACCATCGGAGCTCAAGGAATGATCAAAAATGAACCGAGATAAGGATGGAAACCCTATTAAAATTCGTAGTTCGTATCTGATAGAGGGAATTCTTTGAATCGAAAACATGCTAGAAAAGCATTCAAAGCTATAATAGCGGATGGCTATAATAGCGAATCGCCAACTAGTCGATCATGAAGCAGTTTCTCTAATTCACCGGATTAAAATTAATAGAACCGCTGAAGAAAATGATCTTTTTGAATACCCAGCTTCTTTCACAACATAATGCAAAGGCTATATGCTATGAGAAATATCCTATAGCTGAAATATATAAAAAGGCGATTTTATTTAAGCTGGATTTAGGCCAGAGCAATTGATCAAATTTTTACGCTGAGAGGGATTATGGAATATCGCTTTAACCATCAGCAATTTACAGCCGTTGTATTGATTCTATCGATAGGGCATATCGATAAATTATGCAACACGGTGGGGTTTTGGAGAAAATAATCGAGCTTATTAAAGCGTTTCATCGGTGTGTGTGAGGAAAACGCAGTGTTGCTTTCCGAATTTTCCACTGTACGGTTGACTGAATTGTGGAAACATTTACAAACATTTGTGAGGTATATATATATATATACAAACATTCAACAGGTATATATAATATCACAGATATACTGGTACACAAATATTATTTTTTCGCGTGCAATAGATATCGGTTATCGATACCAGCAAAGGTTAACCTCAAAATGTAAATAAAGTGAAATTTACGTCCAATATATCAACCTTTTTCTACGTGTTGTGCTTATCAAACGCTGATAAGATCGTTTTTTATGAACTCATCAAGAAGTTCAAAAAGTGTTGAACTTTATCTCAGAGCCACTCTCATACCTAATGACCAGGCGAATAATGAAATTTCAATTGCAGTTGTCAGCTAGAGACACCACCTTTTGTCTGATGAAATCTCTTTCGAATCGCCTCGAAATTAGCCTTAAATGTTTTATTTAACTTGCACAGCCTTTTTTATATCTGAAATATGGTCAATAAGAGAGCAGGAGAGAATTGGTGAAAAAATTATCTTTTTTTGACTATTATTGCCAAAGATACATATCAGCAAAGCAGAATTTTACGTTTGTCCACCTTCGCTTGAATACCAGCTGCTTCATAAAAAGCATCATTTGCGCTGGTATATTCATATTCTTTGTCATATTCTTTGTCGTCATAGTGAACAACGCATATCTGTCTTAATGAATCTGAAAATGGTGAGGAAGATCATTTAAAACCTTTGAAAAACCTTTGAATACATTACGACTAAGCAATGTATGGGTTTAGGTTGAAAAAAGTGTCTTCAATTTACAAGTGGAGCCAGCCAAAAGCAATAATTTCATCAAAAAGAAGAGGATCTTTCTGCTATATCCTATATCCTTTGAGGATCTTTCTGCTATATCCTATATCCTTTGAGGATCTTTCTGCTATATCCTTTTTATCCTTTACCTTCCTGAAAATACACTGCGAAATCTAGTTCGCCGAGTTTAACCTTTAATTTCCGCCAAATCCTATTATATATGTGAAAATCCTCATTAAACTCCAACATGCCTTTATCATGCCAAATCCTCGTTATGCTCTTTTATTAATATTTTAAATTTTCTACAATTTTTACTCTTCTATATCCAGTTGCAGACATTTAGTACCGTCTATACCACCTACCCTTATTTTGTTTTTTAACACATTCTTTTGTGCGTTTTTGTAGCTTTGCCATTGCAGCAGTCATAAAATATTTCTTAAATTAATATCATCATGTGTTGAAATAGGAAGGTGTTGAGAGAAAATTATACAAATTATTATAGAGGAGATGTTGAAAAGGTTGAGGAACTGCTCGATTTTAAGTATTTTGGGTCCACTATAATCCCAAATAGCCAGGCAAAAAATGAAATTGTAACCTGGATAACGACAGCTAGGAAAATGTTTTTACAATTGACGAAGTCTTTATGGAGCCGTCGCGAAATTACCATAAAAACGAAAGGTGCTTCTGTGTAGATGCTTCTCTATAGATGCGATTTTCTTGATCTTGCTATGTGGTTGTAAGTCATGGCCGATGAGAGTGGAGGATATTATGAAATTATATGCCTATGACCACTCATGAAATTGTATTCTATCTTATGTACTCTCGCTCAAATACCACTTGCATTGACATTACAATTACAGAGATAATTACATTACAAGATTTTGAACGTATAGGGTACCAGCGATGTATGGACTTAAACAATGGAAAAAGGAATGGCTTCTATTGCTACTAGCGATGACGTCAGACCGAACAGCTTGGAGACGTCTTACCTTTATAGTGGTCCAATGTTTCAGGGGAACAGATTTAATCCAAGATTCTATTCGCTCTCTTTTTCATATATTATCGAACGCTTTTAGACTTCTGCTTTTTGTGCATTGAGGGTGATCTTCCATTCGGTACAATTTTCTGCCATATCGGTTACGATTGGGAACGATTTCTTCCTTTTGTTCATATTTGAACACTAGCATTATTTGTTTTTACTTTATTGCTTTTTCCTTCATTGTCGAACTCTTGATCATGATGGAATTTCAATACTGATTTCAATATATTGAATTTTTAGAAATCTGATTTAGATTTTATTGTTTTCCATACAAATATAAATTTCGATTCGATCGTTTCACAATTCATTATTTTTGTTGCTTTTATAATGGATTTGGGAAAAGGCTTCGATAAAATTTCTTTCTATAATATTGTAGATAAAGTTAATATTTTCTTGAAATATTTGCAGTTATTTCGTTCTTTTAAACGTAAATTTTGATAATTTCAAGAGACTTCAGTTTTTGTTTCGCATTTTTGATGTTTAATGTAAGCAATGGACGAAAATAATGCGAGCACAATGGACAAAAAAAAGTGGAAGGCAAGTTTACGCTTTTATGGATTCAATTTATTTTTGAATTGTTTAGAAAAAAAAAATTTAAAAAATTTCTGATAATTCTTGAATTCTTAGGGAATGTTTAATTTTGTTTAGTTATTTAAATTTTTTAATTACTCATTTTATCACTTTATTATGCTTCAAATCATTTTTATTTTTTATCATCTTTTTTGTTATTTTCTTTCGGCACTTTTGAAATTGACTTAAAATAAAGCAGAAAGCTTTAATCGATAAAAAATTACTTCTAATAATAAATAAGATAATAAATAATAAGCCATTTTAGTTACATCATTTGTCCCATAACGAAGATGATTTCTTTGGAATCGATTTCTTGAATAGTTCAGTAATACCACAAAATATTTTACCGAAAGTATCATTAAACCAACGTATTTTAAATAAGAACAAAAATTCAGAATTACCGAATAATTCAAAAAATTTGAATGGATCAAAAAATGATTCTCTGTAGGTTTTTATTTGCTTATTATATTCTTTCATCTTTATGGGAGTTTTAGAGACTTTTTAAAATATAGAAATATAATTGAAAAAATATATATAATATAATTGAAGTAATATCTTAATATCTTAATAGATGTTTTTCCTGTATTTTTCCTGTAGTTATTTAAATTTTTTTCCCAAATATCAAGTTAATTGAAAAAATGATGCTTATACTTTAATTTTATAGTTTAATTTTAGCCCATCAAATTCGAGTGCGACTAAGGTGAGAAAGCTAAAAGTAAATTTGGTGCAAGACAATGAACAGATGGATTTTTTTTCGCAACAAATGATCAACGCGTTTACTGAGCATAATATAAGATCCACAACTAGTCAACGGTTTGCTTTTTCGCTGTTTTATGATCTTCGAAACTTTCAATTAGTTTTATAAAATTAAAAATTAATAGGATGGAAACAAAATTATATTCTAATTAATTAGTAATTAGTGTTTGCGTCATGTCGAATCATATTTTTATTTTATTCTCGCTGTTGTTTCTTGATATCCACTACTATATAATGTGGAGATACCTGTGAAATTATGATTTACTGCATAAGTCAAGTTCAGAAATCCAACTTTCAGGATATTAATGCAAGTGATATTTGGGATTTTAAGGAGAAGTGCTAAAAAATGTAGTTTTAGTTGCTACAAATTTTTAAAAATTTTATGAAAATTTGGATAATATTGCGGGTTGATATGAGAAATTGGCGAAAGATTTGAATATGACGTATTTTTTTTCTTGAGAATTGATTATGTTGAGTATGTAACGAAAAAAGGGATTCCTTTAACCTTTCGTAACTCGATCGTTACCTCAAACTTGGGTAATTAAACCTTTATTTATATAAAAAATATAATTACAACAAGGATATTAACGATATATTACATTATAATATAACCAATGACAAAAAAAACAATGACAAACAAAAACAACCCATCAAAACAAGGAAAAAAATCGAGCGATAAATAGGTTATTTACGAGCTCCCGCTCACCTACAAACACAAATAAATAATAAAGTAATAATTTGTCCCTTAAAAAGGAGAAGAATCGATACAAAATTGCGGTCTCAACCACGCTTTTGTTGGTCCTCCTCGATTCTGCTCATTTTTTCTGCAGAGGAAGAGAAATATATTGGAAAGGAAAACAGTTTCGAAAAAAAAAGTTTTGTCGTCCCAATGTACGCATAAGATGGGCTATATTGGGGCATATCCGCAATTATTGACGATCTATTTGCCGTTTTTTTAAATTTTCAGTGCGATAGCTGATGGATTTTTTTTTTTGTGCTAAAGGATTGATTC